CATTAAAGGTCTGCTCTATTTTTCTTCCACTCACAAATCTAAACAAGTATCAGAGCCTGAGCCTTCCTCTGTGCCAAAGAAACTCCACTGTTGTCCAGAAACTATTAAAAATACATCAATGAGCCACATTGTAAACACACACACACACACACACACACACACACACACACACACACACACACACACTGTACTTTAGATTGGCTCAGTCCCTGCTGCCCCGAATACTCAATGATGGAGTATTAATCCCCGCCTGAAAATACTCCCAAACAAATGCACTATTTTTTCCTTACTGTTTGATAAAAACTACAGTGAGAGAGGAACCCTTTTAGAATCGTTTTGAAGCCTTGAGTTTGGCTTTATGGTCATTGCTAAGTGGTTTTTTTTTGCATCCAGCAGCGGTGACAAACTACGATTCATCGGCTGCACTTGTTTTCAAGTCGTCTGCCGCAGGAAACAATGGTCACACTTTCTTGTATTTTAGATAAACTAAAATAAAATATGTCTGTGAACAGATTTGAGGAGAGAAATAATCAACGCTGTAACAGAATCTGGATCCATAGCTGATCAGCACTGCCTGGCTTGACAGTTTGATCTGAGTTTGGTGCATTAGCTGGACGGACTCACTGAGAATGACCTGTCAATCACAAGGTAGCCCCGCCCTAAAGCATACCCTGCTTTATGGTCTGTTTTACTCTAAATGGGACCATCATTTACTAAATGAACATCATGCTGTATGGAAGAAGACTGAAACTAGAGACTGAGACCAGAAACTCATCAGGAAACTGTTTACTGAGCTCATCAATCAACTGAGAAGTCGACTAATTTCTTCATAAGACTCAATACTATCATACTTTACAGCCAGTGTAGCTGGCCCCTGCTGGCCATTAGAAAGAATACAGGTTGAAGACGCTTCACAGACCCGGAAGCTCTGTCCGTTATATATACTGTCAAAGCAGGGCACTCACTGAGGCTGTAACAGCACCAAAGATAATAAAGGAAAAGATACTTTGGTATAAATGATAAAGCAAATTCATGACTATTACAGTGTGTGTCATATCACCCGATTCTATCTGGTAACATAGTGAGAATCCTCAGCTTCCAGTTCACTAAAAAGGCTAAAACTATATTTGATTTGTGACACCTGCCAGCTAGTGCATTAGTATTCAGTGTGAAGGCGTTACACAGAGAGAGCAGTCTGTCATCCAATCCTGCCATGTTTAAATGACACTGAAATAAAGAGGATGGCGGAGGGAGGAGAGGAGAGGAGGAGTGCCAGGCTGGAAGTGAAGGAGGATGGAGAAAAGAGACGAGAAGATGAATAAAAGTTCAGCAGCTGTTCCTGAACATCTCCATCTGTGTGTGTGCGTTTGTGTTTACACTGACTGTTGGCCTATTAGCTGTCCCTCAACATGTGGGTCCATCTGGTTCATAATGACCATATGGACCAGATGGACCCCCTCCCCACTCTCTCTTTCTCTCTCCAGGTGACTTAAAGTCTCTGTTAATTAGAGCTGATGTCTCATTTACTCTAATTTTTTTTCTTTCTCACAGAGTAATTTTGGTTTCATCCAAATGTGCCATTTAACTAATTAACTAAGTGTGTAATTTGTGGTAGGCTCCCCTGATTCTTGCTGCTTACCTATGTTTGTGTGTGTGATGACTCTAAGATGAAAGCAGTCGGCTGTCTTTACCCAGGAGTTACCCCAATCCTTTTAGGTAGGATCAGTCCAGCTCTTGTGTAAACAAAGAAAACATCCAGGAATTAGTCAGATTCTCTCCTGTAAACAAACTGTTTATCTGACAGATTGTTTAGTTCATTTGCAGTCGCAGCAACTCAGGTTTTCTGGTTGCCAGCCGGCTGGGATCCAGTTTCCAGCCATTATCCAACCACTGGGATTCCGCCCCACTTCTCTGGTTGTCTGACGAGGCCTGTCTAGGTTCCACAGTAAAGACTCAGACATACTTTATGTGCTGTACCGGTTATAAATAAAAGGTCCGTGTTGGTCTGGCAATCCATGCATGAGGATTTTAGCTTCTTCTCTTTCCTCTCGCAGAGTTCCATCAATCAAATATTTTAAAAACCATTTGGCCGAATTTCATAAATTGGGGTAGCTGCTCCTCACACAACCTCTCATCAAAACAGGCGTCCATTTTTCTTCATCTGGACCGTGTGCAGTCAGCACGCTTGCTGTTTGAGCTGCACAATTAATTGCAATGTCATCAAAATCACAATATGGCCAAGTGCAATATCCAAGAAGCTGCAGTCTTTTGATAAAGGTGACAAACAGCATTATAATGAAGTACTCTAGTGCTACGAATCTTGTTCTCAAGGCGTAAGAAAACATGTTTGTTTGGTACATAATCCAAATGTCACATCATCAGCAGGATAATGCGCCGTGCCACAAGTAAAAATGGTTCAGGAATGGTTTGAGGAACACAACAACGAGTTCAAGGTGTTGACTTGGCCTCCAAATTCAGTGTGGAGTGTAGGAAGCAGAAGCACACCCTCATATACATCAAATAGGATGAGAACAATTGATTTCAGGCGCAATGGATAAGTCTGACTCACTACAGTAGTCTGATGGCAGTCAATCATTCTAGCGTCTATGATCACTGCTCCTCCTGGTGGATAGATAAAGCATTGCAACTGGTTATGAGGCGACACTGGATTCACACGTCATCAATAGGGATCGCATACTAAAGAAGTGCAGAGCAGGGATCCCCAGCAGGGACACACCAGATATTAGACAGGTATGTTATCATTTAGCTTCAGGGACAAACGAAACTTAAAAGTTTCTAAATCGCAGAATTACACCGCCTCAACACCTTGTTTGTGATCATTCTTAAAGTCAGACTAAAATTGTATTTACTCTAACTAGATTAAAATCTCATTCAAATCAACATAGACAGAGACGCATCTGCCAAGAAGTAGCCAGATCCCAGCAGACACTGTAAAATCTAAATCTTTCTAATGTTCATTAAAAATGTAATATCTCAAGAAACTTTTGTTTAACTAGATGTAGATTCATTAAAACGAAGTCTCCTTAATAAACAACTCTAATCCATGAATTACACAGAGCCACATTGGACCAAGAATTAGACAGATCCCAGCAGATACTGTTAATTAAAAAACAAAGTTCCTGTTCATTCTGTCCATTAACGACTAAAACTTAATAAGCCAACAATTCTATTGCTTAACAAGATGGAGGTTCATTAAAACCGAATCTCCATAGTAAACACTGTAATCCATGAATTAGACAGAGCCGCACTTCTCCGGATTTAGGTTGATCTCATGGGTAATTTAGACAGAGCTTGTTAAAGCTCAATGTGTTTGCTGATGTCTATTAAAACCTTGAAACCAGGAGAGAAGAGAAGGAGAAGGGAGGAGAGGAAACAGAAAAGGGACCAATGGGAGGAAACAAAGAAGACCGACAGAAAACAAGGAGAGGAGACGTGGAGTGGAAGAGGCAAAGAGAAGAGGGAATTATAGAGGAAATCATAAGATAAAAGAAGAGGAGGAAACAAAGGAAGGAAAAGCACAGACATTACGGAAAATGATAAGGGATGGAAATAAGGAGAGGGAGGAGGGGTTGAAACTGAGATAAGACGAAAGAATGGATGAAGGAAAACTGGAAACAAGAAAAGGAAACAATAACATAACAGGAAATTACCAACAAAGATTACAAGATTACAACAGACTAATTACACAACTAAACCATAATTTACTGAACCAACTGTTCCACTAAATGACAGTTTGTTGACTGACTTTGTTTTCCAAACTTCATTATTTAACTGGAATCTGTTGAAAGATGAGCTGGAAGAAAACCAAAACAAACTTCAGATTCTGAAAATTGCTGTAAAGAGAAACATTCACATTGTGGAGGGAATCACCACCAACACTGCAGGGACTCACCAGCCAAATGGAGACAAATATCTGGAGCCCCTATTGTGAGGGTGATTATATGTAAACTAGAAGAAACAAAATAAAATCCAGTTTCCAAAAAAATCACGAGAGGGCGTTAATCACATTGTGGGGACAGTCACCTGTTCACACACCAACACTGTGGGGACTCACCTACCATATGGGGACAAGTTTTTCCCCATTTTTAGGGTTGAGATTTGATTTTGGTGGTAAAAAAAACACACATTCTTTACTCAGTACTAATTTAACTACTTTACTCAAGTTAAAGTGGAAAAAGTAGAGGCTCTGAAATGTACTCTTTGTAGAAAGTAAAAAGTACTCTCATCATCTTCTTGAAAGTCTTTTTCGTAATATGCGTGGTATACACCAGTCTTGATGTGGGAAGGTGTGCAATGATGCAAAAAATAAAATTAAAAAAATCATACTGTAACTCTTGGCAACACGTTTTTGACAAATAAAGGCAGGTCTCAATTAGAGGCCTGGTCTCGATTTTATAGAAGTTCTTTGGATGTGTAGAAACCACCTCTGCCTCTCGGTCTCTGAGTCTGAAAACGGAGAGAAAAACATATGTAGCCATGCTAACGCTATCTCATTATCAGACTAACTGCCTTGAACAGAGTAACTTTTTACCATAACTTACTAATCTTAGCTTGTGAGTCAGTGAATTAAGTGTATTTATATTATTAATTTTACAGAAACCATCAGTACCAAATGATTAAATGATCACTGTTTGACTCCTAATTCATATGTTATTCAATAGAAGTAATATTAATGCTGGTTTAAATAATCAATTTCTCATCACTGCTGAGCAAGAGTTTTGTTCTCAAGGAAATATGGGTCTGTCCCATATAGAGGCCCGTTCCAAATAAAAGCAGGTAGAGCTCAGTGATTTAAGGAAATAAAAGCCTGGGCTATTAATAACATTTTTATGGTAATTTATAATTCCCCTTAAATGTATTAAAAACTAAAGTAACAAGCCTGTTTTAAAACTATTTAAGTACAGTTAGTGTTTGTACTGTGTTACTTCCCACCTCTGGCCTCCAGAGAATAAATGACAGAGACAAATGTGTTTTTTTAGGAGAAGCAACGCTTCCTGACTGATGTCCTCCATGAGGTGATGCTATTGGATGGTCTAAGCTCCTCCCACCCGATCTCCCAGGAAGTGGAGCAGGCGACAGACATTAACCGAGTCTTCGACTGGATCGCCTACAAAAAAGTAAGTGCCCATCCACAGTGAAATTCATTTATCTTCATGGATTAATTCATCTTAATTGAGCTGCAATTGAAAATACAGCATAAAATGGAGTCCATTTTATGCTGTATTTTATTGTCTTTTTGTTTGTTTTATGAAGCTTTTTAAAATCAACTTTTATGATAGTCTTTTTAAAGTTTGTCAACATTAAGTTTTTAAATGTAAATAAACTAAACTTTACATGAAAGCTCAATGCTGATCTGCTCTGCCTCTGCACTCGCAATTGCAATGAAATTAATTGATTAATGTCACGTTTAATGTCATGTTTTTACTTGTCATAATGTATATAAATGTGTGTCTCTGTGCTCTCTGTAGGGGGCAGCGTTAATCCGGATGCTGGCTAACGTGATGGGGCAGTCGCTGTTCCAGAAAGGACTCAATGTAAGTTCATGTCGCCCTGCAGGTCCAGCTGTATAAACAAAAGGTTTATATATCTGAGGACAACAGGGACAGCAGGATTTTGGCTTTAAAATGATTTGTCACCAGGATTCAGACAGAAGCTGTGTGTGTGTTTAGCCATATTTTAGCTAAATCCTGACTGTTCGGAGCATAAAGATGGGCAGCGAATAAATGGATTTCGGCTTCAGGGGCAATTTGAGAGGAAGTTTTCTTACGTGTTTTCTGCTGTAAAATCTATCCCACATTACAATCCTCTGGATGTGACCTGAATTCAAGCTGAGCACAGCCACTGCTCTCCATGCAGGAAGAAAATGCAAACTTTTCTCTTCTACTTTTGAAGTCTACAGGGGCTATAGTTTTGTTACCCAAAGTTAGAATTTATCCAGAATTGTAGCCAAGATTTTGAAAATGCTATAGTACTGAGTACAAGTATGGAGTTTTGGGTGCTGAGAGAAATTCTTTCTATATAATGATGTCCATGAAGTAAACCCTGCCCCCACCACCAGACACCAAAAGTGATCTTTCTAATTTTCTGGTTTTTTTTCAGCTGTTGAAAAGCTGTTCACAGCCTATTCTGAGTAAAATAACAGTGGAGAAATATTAAATATTTTATTCATTGTTGGCCTAAAGCTAGTCAAATTTAAATGCATAATGTCTAAAAATACTGGAATGAGAGTATACATTTTTAATTGTAGAATATGAACTTCCTAAAACTAACTTAATTTCCCCTCAAAAAGCTGAAAACCTCCCAAAAGGCAGCAGGTTTCAGAGGTTTGGTGATGTTTAATTAAATGTGTCTATGCAGTGTGACAGGCTGCTGTTTCGGTTAATGAGGTAAAATAAGTTCAGTGGGATTGTGTTTTTGGTTCCCTCACAGTTTACACTGGGACACATTCAAAGTAGAGTTCAATAAATTGATCCATGCTGCGCTGGGTGTTGTACAAAGTAATGAAAAATGAATCAGAGAGAAACCTAAAAAAGTTATTTGAGGAGACAAAAAATGTTTGTTTTAATAATTTTTATAATGTTTTAATTTTTCATTCACAACAACATGAGTGGTGTTAATGACAGAGTGTGCTGCATTATTTATTGTTCAGCTGTATGAAGCTGCTAAGTGGCTCTCTGATGGCTCACACTAGTTAATGTTAATGTATCAGTGGGGGGAAAAAACTCAAAATGAATTTTATTTTACAGCAACAAAGCACTTTTTTGTCCACAAACTTGTAGGAAATCAGTTGGCAGTTACTGTAAAAATGATGTCATATGATGTAAGGTGAAAGTGGGTTAAATATAGTTTTTGTTCTGAATACAGTCATGGAAATATGTATGAATCCCCTGCGCGCACACACACACACACACACACACACACACACTATGTCCTGATTTTCCTGCAGAAACTGTCAGTGACCTGGAACACACTGAGAACCAGATTCTATATAAAAACACTGCTGATCCAGCAGCAGAAAACACAGAAAATAGTGTGTGTTTGAGAGTGTGTGTGTGTGTGTGTGTGTGTGTGTGTGTGTGTGTGTTACATATACAATGTGCTGCCACGCTACCTAATAAGAGCATTAGTTTCGGTCCTCAGCTGCATAAAAAAACATCTTGGGAAAAATTTCCTTCTGTAGTTTTTCTTCATATTTTCTTTGCAAAAAAGATGTTTAGTGAGAATTATAAGATATAACAAACTGTACAAACCATCTGCATCTAATAATTCATGCAAAACAACTCAACATAAAGCTGAGCTTAAACATAAAAAAGTCACATTTCTTATAGTAAAAAAATGTGTGATTTATGTTGTGTTAGGAGTTGATAGCTGTGACGGTAGTATGCAGGGGTGTGTCCGGACCATCTCTTGTTGGCCATCCTGTTATCCTTACCTCTTCCACACCACACTGTCTTGCAGAAGCTCTCAGGTTTTAAAGCTAGAGCGAAGGTACTAGTAACATGTGACACTAAATTACCTTATGTATCCATTGGTACCAACTATGTCATGCTACCATGTTAGGAAGGAGGCTAAATAACTCCAAAGTTAGGCCTAACTGTGGCGATGGAAAAACTGATCATTTTCAAATGGGTCTGTAGATCTCTGACCTCAAGATTTCTGAATGAAAATGGGTTTTATGGGTACCCACAAGTCTCCACTTTGCAGATATGCCCACTTTATTAAATTAAATTAAATTGCATGTAGTTTTTGGCAAAAACCATGCAGTTTTTTTGCATGTGGTATTAATGTTGTGCATTTGAATATTTCTGCATACTGGGGTCCATAAACAGTGCAGAATCTGGATAAATTGGGAATGAATGGAGAGCTGAGACACATACTTCATACCACCTCTGCAAAAGTCAGCGCCCTACATGTGCCACCCCTTTAAAAAAGAGTCCTGGAAAAGAAATTCACTTAGTAATATGGACATGGATTTAAATATTGCAGTGACATTTGGTAATTTATGCATTAAATTCAGTTTTAGTCGTATTCAAATAGCTAAAGATTGCTTTAAAATAGGTGTTGACATTCATAGGCTCCCATTAGATATGGATTCAGGCTCAGAGTCCCACAGTTGCACCTTTTAAGTTGGCCAATCACACACCACTGCCACCCTTATGCCATGTTCATATCATGCAAAGATTCTCATGTTTAAAACACGTCAGTGTACCACTCCAGATGGTCTTATGATTGTAGAGTTGGTCGTGTGAGGGTTAAATATTGTGCACTGACAATACAGCACTATATCAATAAAGTTTGGGTCTGATTACCTTGAATAACAGACTTTTGGCTGAAGAACTGTCGGGTGTCTCGTCCATGAGGCTGTTCTCAGCAGACAGATTACAGGTCATGTGCTTGTTGAGATCCCAAACTCCTTCACAGAGCACACACCTTTATTTTTTTATTTATTCTATGTTTTCTACGGATTTTGTGGTTTGGATGAGTCTTCCAGGAAAGAAACCCAACTTTTCAGATAAGCCTTATAGTCAAGGAGCTATTCCTGATTCATTTTGTATATGTTATTTTTGGAGTTTTTCCCTGGGAATGAGTGGCCTGTTGAAGAACCCGGACGTGTTTGCAGCGCTGACGGAGAACGGAGGTTGAGGTTCATCCTCAGATGTGGAAAAACAGTCCTCATTAACAGACTCGTGTGCTAAAACGGTGTCTGTAACGGCAGAAATCTTTCACTTTAACCCTCAGAGCTGCTGTAACAAATGTCTTTCAATGAAATTATTATCACTCACAGCCATCTTCCTCCGACAGAATGCTTATCGTTTGGTTGAGGTGTATCACGCTGCTAAACCTGTTTGTGTTGGAATCGGGATCAGACTCTGTGACTGTGTGGAAGGGCGCATTTTATCTCATGTCAGCTTTAGTGAAGGTGACAGTCATACTTATCAAAGCCACACACACACATACACACACACTCCATGTTGTTGTTATCATGTGTGGCATCTTGTTCCAATAAAGAGTTTCTTCTTGCCTTATCAACCTCCATACGCGCTATGACAACTGACTGACTGTTTGCGAGGGATGTTCACACACACACACACACACACACACACACACACACACAGAAGAATCAATCAGCGAGAAGCAGATTAGAGCTCTTTCTCTGTAGGTGTTCTGTGTTATCTTGTACTACTTTCCTGCCTTTTCTTGTTTTATCACAAACCCCAACAATGCACCAAGCTTCCTAAGCTTTTATAACCCCAAACACACTGCAGCGGGGAATGAGTTTCCTTCCCTGGAAACAGACGGGGATCAAACCAGACCCAACCGTCACCGATGAATTGCTGGTTGAAAACGATGCTGCCACGCCACTAAGTCCCTTTTGAACTGGGAGATTCTCTTGGGGAGCTTTGAGTCTTCACCTTGTTCATTAGCTTAGAAAATATAGCTCACAGTTTGAAGTCAGAGCAGGGATTGAGCCCCGAAGCCCTTTCGACTCTACACAGGGGCTAAAAAAAACGTACTGCCTTATTTCAAACTTGAAACACTTTTACAAACACACCACAACACAACTTTGTCTGCCACCTTTTTAAATCCCTACAGTATGCAACTAATTTGACTGTAAATGTAAGCATTAAAAAGAGTAGCAGTATCACACTCTACTGTTCATACTGTTAATATCCTGCTAGTATATTAATATATTTATCCATAAGGTTTTTTTTTTTATATATCCCTGTACATATGCATATTACTCTGCACCTTACTGCTTTAGATAGGGTCTTTTGCAAGCCCATTATCATTTCCAGGTTGTCAAATACAGATGCGAGCAGTGTTCAGTTAGTTGCAATCTGCCAACTTCACCACTAGATGCCACTAAATGGTCCAGATGGGTGGCAACATATTTCCAATGCTGTCAAATTTAACACATGAATTTAGATTAATTTAAAGAAAATTAGGTGTATAAAAACGGAAATTAATTTAATGATCTGTTATGGCCACGTGTTAGACTAACTGATAGTTTAATGAAATAAACAAAAATTTGGTGCGTAAAGACAATTTATAGCAGATAAAGAAATATTTTCAACAGGGTGAAGATTGGGCCAACCACAGTCCACCAAATGATGTAATTTGATGTAATGGTGTGTTTAAGTGGCTGATCTGTTTCTCTGTTTTTTCAGGATTATCTGCTGAGTCACATGTACAGCAACGCAGCCAGAGACGACCTGTGGAACAAACTGACTCAGGTACCACTTACCTGTCCCCTTACACAGTGCAGCGTTAGTGCCTTGCTCCTTGGCAGGGATTTAAACCTGTGACTGCTCCACGTTTTATGGCTCTTGGGGGGATAAAAGCAGCCAGACTGCATGAAGCTGTTAATTATTTAACGAAGCGGTTCTAATGAAGGCCGGGGAGACTCTTGTTAAGCTGCGAATTGATGAAACGGAGATGGGGGGAAAGTCTGGTTGCTATGGTAACGTGACTGACAGGTGGCGGCGAGGCTTGTTTTGTTGTTTGTCCTTCACACAGGAATTCTCCGTTTAATTATATCCATCTTGAGATTGCTCTTTAATAAGCTGCCAGCCAATCAGATCTCCAATTACCTGAAAGTTTTTCTCTAATCAATTGACGTAAAGTTGAATATTGGTGAAAATAATTGGTGCTTATTAACTATTATTAGTCACTGATTATTCATACGTTGTGTGTTTTGTCCAGGCCATGCGCTCAGAGGGGCGGGACATCGACATCAGAGGGATGATGGACAGGTGGACTCTACAAATGGGCTACCCCGTTGTTACCATCAGCAAGAACCAATCAGAGCAGCTCCCTACTCATTACATCACTGTCAGCCAGGAGCACTTCCTGTACGGGCAGGAAGTCAGAACCAACAACAGGTTAGACCAAGTTTAAGTTTTTTCTGCAAAATGATCCAAATGTAAACAAAATGGCAAAATGATTTGACAAATCAAATCTTAAAATTTCATCGACAAAACAAAATCTAACTTCTAATCTTTAAGATTTCAGTTCTGGTTGTTATGGGGACGTCAGGGCCTAAAGTTTTGTTTGCAATCATACATTTAACGACCACTAAGAGCAGCAAACGCACACTGAGCGACTTCACAATCACAACAAAACCACTACTAAATCTGTTTATAGCACCAGAACAAGCTGTGGACTGAGAGGATCAGTAATGTGTTACATCAATAAATAAGACTCAAAAAGAAAGTTAACGATGTAATCCAACACGGTGGCTTAACCTATGAATCCTTTGTACATGGAATGGCAGACTCCGCCAGTTACAATTGAAACAATACAGTATATATAGATCCATTCAATGGTTATCATTAAATAGTATAAATGGGGTTTACGTTATTAAAATCTGTTTACGGCAAAGAAACAGACCAACATCCTAATAGAAACCGAAATATATTTATCATTCATTTCTGTGTAGAACAGGTGAGTTCATGTTTACAACCATAGCCACGCTATTTCTTGCCCCCCCCCTGCTTTTGGCCAGTAAACCAGGACTGCGTTCAGCCCCAATGAAACGTAGCAAAATGTTTATTTTAAAGGAAACTGCTGTGTTGAACACCCTGTTCTGTTAATATGATGGGGTTTGTACATACGTCACTGCTGACACACCCACAAAACTAGAGAAAACATATCTTAAAGTCACGCCATTTAAAGGAAACATGCCGTGCACACTAGATTCAGACTGAACGTTCCCCAGGTAAATGTCGGTCTCAGGAGGCAACAATTATTGAAATCCGCTGGTTAGGTCAGTGCTTATGGACTTCTTTATTAAAATACATGTTTTTGTTCCTTTATGGCACATTAAAAAGGTGTAGCATGTCGCTGCACAAAAAGAATAAAATAATGAAAAGGTTTGAAACAAGAAATCCGCTCAGTCCTTTTACCTGATTCTTTTGCAGCCTCTATGCCTCAGGAATCAGATGTTTAATAAAATTTATAAAACTATGAAGTCATTCTGTTTGTTATTAGTGACAGCAGTGACCCTCAGGATACTTTTTACATTTTCAGAGCTCATCAGGCTCTCAGAATGTTTTGGGACGCCAGCCTCCACGTGTCCTTCATATCATTCAGTCATTCGCCTCTGCAACGATGCTCCTTTAACTCTTTGTTTCACACCTCAATAAGCGATAAGTCTGTCCTCCATTTTCTCCTGAAAAAGCACTTTTCCAGTTTTTCTTCACATTCTTTAACACCTTTACATCATTTATATTTCATTTATATTTGATTCACTTGATGTTTTATTCACATCCTTCACGAGGTCTGGAGTTTATTCTTTTCGCTGTTTTATCGACCCACTTTCTCCTCCATCAATACTTCATCAGCTCCTTTTCTCTTTTTTCCTTTTTTTTAACCTGTTGTTCACTTTTATTTGCTCTTTTCTTTTCGCTCCTTTCTTTCTTTTCTTCCCGTCATGTTTTTTGCTCTGTAGCTGACATTTGCAGTCACTCTGACCTACTCAGTGCCTCACCGTTTTTTTATTTCATGTTCCTCTCCTCTTCTGTTCTCTTTTTATTCTTTCATCTGGAGCCTTTTGTGTTTCACTTGAGCTCCTCTGCTCAGAGTCCCTCCTGAGGTCTCCTCAGCTGATGAACTAAAGCTGTTTGTTGTAGGTGGAGCTGAACTCTTGTGGAGTCTCGTGGGGCTGCGTTCAGACACACTCAGTGGTCTCGGGCGTTCACCAACTCTTGTAAAAAAGAAACTGTGTTTGTAGCTGAACTGTCGTCACGGCTGAACGCAGCAGCGGCAGCGGCGGCAGCGGCGGCAGTGGATTGAATCAGAGGCGCATGCTGCTGTTTGATCCCGCGGAGCTGCATTCAGGAGCGCAGCAGTGTCCCACAGTGTTACATGCTGTTGACTTACAATGCTGATTTATTTATTGTTGTATTTTTGTTTATTTACATGCAGGGAATTCTTAGAAATACACAGAAATATACAGGAAGAAATTGAAAAAAAAATCCTTGAATTACTGTACAACTCACAACATTGTGGCTTCCTGGAATCTGTCTTCAGCAGTTGGGCTTTAGACCTGCTCAGAGTGCAATAACTGCTGCAGCTGCTGTTGTGGATAACACCACTGAGCCTCTGGATAAAAAAAAAAGCAACATTGTGCAGCACTTGTAAATCTATATTTATGTATGAATTATGACTAAATCTAGTCTTATAATTTTTTCGTGGGTTCTGATGATTCTCTTTGCAGCTGGGAGGTCAGACTGTCCCCAGATAGTTGATTTCAGGATCAATATTAGGCCCCTTGCTTTTTTGTGTGTATGTTTGGGCTTTAATAAGTAACATTTCCACATTAAAATGCCTCAAAACACCAGATCTATATTATATATTTGTGTATTTAACGTTCAAACCCAGAGAAATACATCCTTTTATTCATGTAACGTAATAAACACGTACATTACCAATCTCCCCATACAATTTCTTTTAAATAGTGTTATCTTACTACAGTTATAACTTGCATGCAGCATCCATAAACAGTAGTATTGAGCAACAAAGGCAATCTGTGAACTGTGTAATCTTATTAGAAGTACATAATCAAAGAAGTAAATTTTTTAAAAATGGACTATCTGGAGCAGGCATACTTGAGCCTTATAATTCCAATTTCATGCCACAGATCAAGCATACTGGTAAACCAGTGTTGGTGGTGAAAGAAAATAAATCTGTCCACGTGTTATTAAATTCTCTTAATTTCCTAATTTCCTTTCTAGATAGGAAGATTCAAGACTAATAGCCCACTACTATTCAGCCAAACACAGAGTAAAAGCCACCAGGTCAGGACGTAACTTATGACGCACATTTTAGTTGACGAAAGTTGACTTTTTTATTTAGTATGTAATAGCAACACATTTTTTACAGTTGGAAAAAATTCTCTCAACACTAATTACACATCTACTCAGTAAATGCAGCCAACAAACCAGAAGAAAACTTTCATGGACGCACAAATCACACTAAAATGGAGTCTTATGTTCTTGTTTTGACCCCCTAGCAGCAGAAATGACATTATATTATTTATTAGTAGTATAGACAGGAAAGTGATGTACACTCTTCCTCTCATACACTCAATCCCTGCATTTAGAGCCTGGCTTGGGGAGTAATGGATTACATGTAACTGAGTTACATAGTCAGGATACAAAAATATATTGCAGTTACAGGAAAAAAAAGAGTTGAAAATGGGATTATTTAGCAGGATTAGAATTAAAATACATCAGTTGTTTCTGTTTCCATTTTCTTTTCAAATGTTTGTTTCTGTTATCTTTTCTCTTTATTTGCACATTTGGTGTTGAGGTAATCCAAAAGTAAGGGAAATACATGAATAATCTGACACTTGGATTAGGTTAATGACTACATTTTTAACAGGTAATGAGTAATTAGTAACCCTCCCAACACTGTTTAGAGCAGACTAGTTGTAACGGAGGTATAAATGGCAAATGTAGAGCTTTTTATTCCAATAACATTAACTTCTTCTCAAACTTTTTGTTGCATTTTTATTTATTTTTTCACTTAGTGTTAAGGTGACATTTTAGAGATCACAGTATATTTTTATGTCAAACAATTTACATTCCTCTCCTCCACCTGTCTCTGACGGTTTGAGGGAGACGTTTCAAATTTGTGTCTTTTCTTTTCCCACCATCAAACAACCAACGCAGCGAGGCAAATAAATGCTCTTTAAAGTAGCAAGCTGACAGAAAAAGAGACAAAGAGACACCAGAGGACAGCGTGTGCTAACGATAAGGTCGAGCTAATGATACTGAAAATAAATCAAACAGGATCTGCATTTAAACACATCACAACTCGTCTCTCTTGCAGCTAAAGAGAGACGAAGCACCTAACAGGCAAACAGATGTGATTGGAGGACAAGCGGCTGTGCGTTTAATTTAATTAGCGGGACATGATAATTATTCCACAGAAGTTTATTTCTATACTGCTTTATCTCTCGAAAGCATATATCATGACATATTTGACAAAAACAATTAAAATCCATAGAAAAATATTATGACATAAATCCATCAACACAAATTACAACAAGGCGAAAAAAATAGTACATTTCATTAATGTCATAATGGAAACATTGGAAAAACTATATATACTAGTAATTATAAAGTCAGATTTCATTATTTTATATAAAGATCTTTAATGGTAGTTTTGAAGAAACAAAGCTACCAGAAGATGCTTGAAGATGTGAAGTGTTTGAGTGATGGCTGAAGTCCATTTTCGGAAATCCTTGTTTGCTGTTCAAATTAAACTCTTAAACTAAAGTCCTTGTGACGTAAGACTGACGTTTTTAAGACTGCGCAGACTGTGTACGATGACTCCAATCGCAGACACCGAACTGCCACTGGGTTTCCCCTGGGTACAGTTTCCCGCTGGACTTTATCGCTGCCGTTCTAGACGACGCTTCACAATGACTCCACCAGGGGTACCGCAGCGCCTTTCACAAGCCCCACACCAGGTCAAGCTGCTACAGAGCCAGTTAGGCCGGGCAGGAAGTCAGATGCAGGAACAGCACAGAGAATGCATTAAATTTTCAAAATAACACTAAAAACACCCTGGCAAGAGAAGGCCAAAAAAACACACACTATATGCCATATATACCATACACAATATGGAATAAAACCAGCAACCGTCTCTCACTCTCGTGCCAATAGCAGTGAAATTTCATGATTCTTGATACCAATTTGATACCATGGTAAAAAACAAAACAATAAATCCCATGTACTGCAACTTACACTCCTTTTATTAAAAACATTTGAACATCACAAAAAACAGCCAGAGTTGCTCCTTTTCCAATAGATTATTCTTTTATTTACTTATTTTTACTTTTATCTGCTGACCTTGCTTTTCCCTCCAGCACTATTTTACACACACACACACACACACACACACCGGTACTGTTGCCCCGTCTCTATCTGTTTCTGCCTTCCCGTGTGTCTCTGTTGACATTTAAAGTCGCTCCCAAAAAACACAACTGATATTGTTTTCACCCACGATCCTGTTTTAACACCAGCAGGTGAGCCGTGTGTGGATGAGACTCGTTGTTCATCAAAAAGATCGAAATCGATGTGGTACCGAATGACAGCGGCACCAGCTGCTGTTCACTGCTGTTCACTCTTGCTTTACGTGGTCCGTGCTTGTAAAATATCTGCGCCAGAGAGCGTCTGTCTCTGTTTCTCTGCAGAGGTCCCCTGTTAGCTTCCCTGATACCTGCGGTACTGTAGAAAACGATTAACGTCACGTTTTCAGAACCTCAGCAACGACTTGGTACCAAAGTACCGGTTCTCGTGACATCCTTATTCCCGATATCTCTTATTCTGATCCTGGCATTAAAGGCTCTGATAGATCTGAACTTTAAGTTTAGATTTTGAGACACTTGAAATGACGAGTATTAATGGGCTCAAAGTGCTTTTAATGGAGGACGAGGGGCGAAGGGCTGTCTGAGGACTTTCTTAAGTTTCCATTGTTGATGTAGCAACACAGTCATTCTGCCTTTCTCTCTGCCTACATGTGTGTGTGTGTGTGTGTGTGTGTGCTCTTTCAGCTGGTTTCTGCCTTTGATGAATAAACCATTGACTCTATACACACACACACACACACACACACACACACACACACTGTTGTCTAAAATAAACAGGCTTCATTTCGATCAAATATTAATAAACACATTCTGCTGTCCATGCTGCTGACTGTGTGTGATTAAGTGTGTGTGTGTGTGTGTGTGTGTGTAATTGAGGTGCATTCCTGTCAATCACGTTGATATAAATATCAGATTAAATATTTGGCTGCAAGGCAGCGGTATTGATCCACGGTTGCCAGATGGCTGTTGTGGGGATAAATGGGTCTTTGTCTGACTGATTGTGTTACAATGACCCCTACCACACCACACACACACACACACACACACACGCACACACGCATACAAATAATCCCACATACACACTCTCCTTAAATGGATGAATTAATTGCTGATTGTTTGCTGTTTGGAATTAAAATCCACTTTAATTAAAATATGAATCAATTTGATCAAAATGAATCCAATTAAAAGCTGAGTCTCTGAGGGTTTCTAATGGAACTAAAGAGAAGGTCTCACTTTAAAGGTTCTTTTATTGGTGTCATTAGTGCTCACATACAGTAGCATTTGGCTTGTGTGTGTGTGTGTGTGTGTGTGTGTGTGTGTGTGTGTGTGTGTTTCAACAGCATCTACTGGTCACTAACAAAAAGCATCAGGAAGCCATTTGTTCCTAATGAGCCCTTAGAGTTGGCCAACGCTCTCTCTTCATACAGTATTGCTTAATTTGTTGTTTAAAATTGATATTTACTCTCTCAGACCAGCTAGGGTGGAAGAAGTACTCACATACTTCAATTAAAGGTCCAGTGTGTAACATTTAGAGTGATCTATAATCAGAAACTGAATATAATAGTAATAGGTATGTTTTCATTAGTGTATAATTTCCTGGATATAGGAATCCTTGTGTTTTCGTTACCATATAATGAGCTGTTTTTATCTACAGAGGGAGCTTTGTAATAATCATCAGTGCAAAACACAGTGTGCTGTATATAGATATATGGATTAAACAAAGCCTCAATGCAAAGAATTTGCATAGCTGATTTTTAGTATCGAGTTACTCAAGTAACTCAAGTAATCGTCTCAGCCCTACTCCAGACATAACATCATAGGACCAGCTGGTCTCGATAGCAGTATCAATAAGGTCGGACCTTCGGATTTTCAGGGAGCGCAAACATCTTTCCTGTCGGGAGAAGCCTTCGGTGTCGTTCTTTGCTCTTCTTTCAGTGAAGAAATACTCTCCAGTGCTGATATAAATGATGCTTGCAGGAGCTACGCTGACCTCTTTAGGAGCCGAGCAAACAGTCTCTTCTCACCAGCCTTAGCTCCTAAAGTAGCTGCCAGTAGTTCCTCACTGTACACAAGTGCATAGCTTGAAGCCATCTTGGATTCCCACGTAATCTGATATTGTGATCTGATTTCCTGATCTTGCGAGTCAAGTTGCCTCGGAAGGTTAATGTTGACCCGAACTGGGTCCATTTTGAAAGCAGTGATTTATAGGGTGTGTTTGTGTTTGCTGTTGTCATCAAATGATTTCACCGCCAGACTATTATTATTAAGTTGCCAGACGCCGCCAGCATTTTTTGATCATATTCACTAATATTTCAAGACCCCCAGAATATTATGTTCTATGAATATGTAAACAGTGAATACATCAAAAGAAAGAACAGAACATCTATTTTTATGCACAAAAAACATTTTATTCTAACTTTGTTCATTCTTTTTATAACAGTGAAAACACAGATTGCCGTCAATGGCGGGAAGTGTCCCGTCTTACGTGACAAAAAATCTTGTTAACGGCAGGTATAGTGTTAAATGTAGTAGTTATGAAATGTCGAAATAAAATACCTTATTTTTAAAAGGAAAGGACAACTCAGAATTCAACATCATATAATTCTGCAGCCTCTCTGATTCCCCTAAAATGAGACCTTTAGAGTATAATTAGCAAATGGGTTTTGTTCATCATTTGGAGTATAAAACATCAATTACATTGGCACTTGTACAGGCCAAGTTGCTCTCAGTTTTATTGGGTGGAATTTTTTTAACAATCTTTATTCTGAAAAGTTCCTTCCACGTCATGCTTCATTCATCTTGATGCTTTTCAAAAGCCACTTATCTCCCTAACATCTACATCTGCCTTGTTTAAGCTCAGCAGTGATGCAATTTTCACTCAGCTGGTTTTGTTAAAAGGTTTTATGAGTCTGTTTGTTTGGGGAATTCTCTCAGTTAGTGTATTTATACATCTTTAAACTGACCTGAAAACTAACCACCACACTCAGTTTTCACTGGACAGCACATTTAACCTCCCGTGCTCTGTGAAGAAGACAATAACCCTCAGCCACTTTCACTTGACTGATGTTCGCTGGCTGCGGAAGCTATTATACTCTCTCTCTATAACACAGTCTGTGTCGCTCGCTCCATTTCCAGCTGACTGATGTTGAATGATCATCACTGACCATCACTCTGTCTCTCTCTCTCTCTCTCTCTCTCTCTCTCTCTCTCTCTTTCTATCTGATAACTGAGGCAATAAAACTCAGTCCAATCCCACCGACCATTACTGACATCACTCTCCCTCTCTGTAGTTTACAGTGGCAGGTGCCGTTGACGGTTGCTGTGGGAAACGCATCCAGGGTTTGTTCAGAGAGCCTCATCTGGATCAACAACAAGACAGGTACGGTACTGCCGGTGTACTTCAAGAACTAAAACTAGAAAACACTGCTCTCAGATCTGATATAATTTATTGAACATCTCCATAAAAGTTCCTATTAATCATCTGGTTACACTGAGATAGCCGTTATCTTGGGATTATTTTGTTGTATTAATAGAGCAAATTATCCCACGATTACAACTAAATTATCTCATTATCTCGAAATATGTGATTTCTATTTAATGGGCTGAGAAATGAAAACTTGCACGTTATTCCTTTGATGAAAAAAAGCTCTGCTCAATGTCTTCCATTTTCATTGTTCAGAGGTCAGCAGTGGGAATAAACCTGTTTGTTTTGTTTTGGAGAATAAATCTCTATCTGTTTATGGAAAGTAAAGCTCACTCTAGGTCTGTTTTTTCAAAATAAAGCTCTTTCTGTCCTTTTTTGGGGGGGGGAAGACTTCATTTCATGAAAAGTAAAACTCATTCTGGTTCAGTTCTTTTAGAAATAACACTTGTTGTCTCTCTCTGTGTCTTTTGGCAAATAATGCAAAGTTTGCTTTGTCTCTATCAGTTGTTAGAAAATACCATTTATTTTGCATTGATTTTCCATTAATTCTAGTTCTGTTTATGGAGATTAAAACTAATTCTGCTTCTGTTTTTGAGGAATAAATCTGGTTCTATTTAATGTTTTGTAGAATAGAGCTAATTCTGGTTCTGTTTTCGGAGAATAAAGTTCTCTCTATCAATGTTAGGTGAATAGACCTCAAACTCCCTCTGTTTTTGGAGAATAAAACTCATTCTGCTTCTGTTTGTGCAGAATAAAGCTTGCATGGTTGTGTTTATTAACAGCTGTTGACAGGTGGTGTACTGAGTTCTGGTACAACTCCACCTACTTGCAAGGTGCACGGTGAAGGGAAGTTCAAGACTTCAAGATAGTTTAATTTCAACCAGTGGGAAGGAAGTTGAGGAAATGGGCCAGACTTGGGTCAGCAGCTATTTTTCTTGTTTTCCTCACCTGGCTGTTAAACAAAGTCTGAAAGATCCTACAAGCTGTTCTACCCAAACTTACAACCTAATTTTACAACCTCAGAGGATGTTCTTGTTTTTTCTATGAAAAGGCTGTGATGCCACTATAATCAACACAAACTTTTCTTTCAGCATGATGGGTGTTAAAGGTGTTGCAGATCTTACAGTTTATATTTAGTTTCAGTTTTTACACTCTCTGCTGAATTATATTTTGTAAATGTAACACCTTTCCAAGTTAGTGTAAATGCCAGTGTGTTTTTATCAAGTTGAAATAAATGCATTGTAAATTGCACTTTACTACTTTGCACTTCTGGTAGATGCTAACTGCATTTCGTTGTTTGTACCTGTTCTTTCAATGACAATAAAGTTGAATCAAATTAAATCTAATGTGCAACTCAGCTTGCAATAAAATGTTATTGGACAACTCAAGACGGTTGTGTGACTTAACAATACTTTGCCGTAACAATATAGCACAGTATTTGTTAAAATGAAACACAAATAAAAGGCAAAAGGCCCCTCACAAGAACTAGAATTGGGGATGGCTGTATATTGCACTAAGTGAGATATGTGTGAGTTACCCAGTTGTAATTCTGACTTGGATCTTGACGGCAATTACAAGTTGGTAACTCACTCAATACACGAATGAGGCAAAATGGTAACTAAAAAGTACAACTAATAAAGTGATCACAAATTAAAATCCTGATCCTCACTGTCTGTCTGTTTGACCTCCACTTCCAGGTTAAAAAAAATATATATCACATTATGAAAGCAGTGTCAGTTTGATGCAACCTGCAGGAGCTATGTTTTTGATTTAGGAACCGAACAGGACAGCGTAGTATCATCTGCATATCTGACTACCTTCATCAGATATCCAACCTCTTTGGTTGAACTATTGGTTCTTTTTTTATTAAGGAGAGGCTGTTGACATTTTTTCTGTTTTGTCTTAGAAACCCACAGGATTGGTCAGATGGACGACAAAACCTGGTTGCTGGGCAACATCAACCAGACAGGCTACTTCCGTGTGAACTATGACCTCCAGAACTGGAAGCTGCTGATTCAACAGCTCCACACCAACCCTCAAGTATGCCTATCTGTCTGTCTATCTGTCCATCTGTATGTAGGTATGTCTCTTTCTGTTTAACCCTCTCTACTTTCTTCTTTGTCTTTTTCACTTCCTCTCTGTCTGTCTCACTCTTTGCCTCTCAGATCATCTCCATTGGAAACAGGGCAGGACTTATCGATGATGCCTTCAACCTGGCCAGGTGAGTCTTTGCTTAACCAGAAAACATATTGGTTCAGTGAGGTTTAAAATCCCCTGTTCAAAGACTGATAGACACAAACACATACTCAGTGGAACGAATAGTTCATTATAACAGAAGAAAGTGGTGGACAAATGATCTGTTTTCTGTTCTCTCATCTGTCACTCAGCCTGTAAGACATCTGGACACACAGAGGGAAAGAGCAGCCAGGCAGATCCATTGTTTGTCTGTTTCTGTTTGTTTTTAATTGCTTCGCACTAAAGGAGTGTCTCTTTGTTGAACAGGACTGATGATGTGTCTGCCTCCCTCAGATATGTCTATTTTGATGGACTGAATTTTTTGAGCGTACAGATTTATTTCAGAGTTGTCATCATCTGTTTGGCCAACAGAATCGAGGAGGTGGTTTTCTGCTGATGTGCATGTAGTTTGAGTCAGCTGTATATACAGAGGTTTATAGACCTATGGATTTTCCTATACAAATTTACATTCACACACAAGGTGTTGGGCTGGAGCTTTGCCAGCAGCTGATTCCTCCACATCCATAACCACTAGATAAGTGTAGCTCGGTGGCTCAAGGATTAACAGTTGCCTTGCAGCTGAGGGTTATCCTGACTCTTTCTTTGCATATTCTCCAGTAGATGTGCATGTTTAGCAAATATGCCATTGCCACTGCCAAGGTAGTTGTGGGTTATTCTCATATTTTTGTCCATCATGATTTATTTATTCAGCATCTTCGGTTTAGAGATTTGGGAAATGCAAACCCCACTAAGAACATGAGATTTCTACAGTTTTCCTGTAGACTTTAATCCTGAAATCATATCAAACACTCGATTTTGAGTCTGATTGAAAGTCTCTGTTAACTGTTTAGTTGCAGTTAATGAAAACTACAGAGATACAGTAGGACCAGCCTATCCAATTGGCAGCTTGCTGACCACACCCGGCCCAGCATACATAAATCTGATATATGACCAAATAAGTAAACGATATATATAGTGTATTGAAGTAGCTAACGAGTGAGCCATCTAATGTCCTTCTCACAATGCGCAGTTCCTGTTGTGTTTGGTGAAACCAGAAGCAACAGGACCCAAAAAAATACACAGTCTTTACTTGCCAAAATTAGTTTGGTATACAGGAGGTCAGTCAGAGTAGGCAGACCAATCCAACGGGGAAATGGCAGAGGCAGGGTAAAAAAACAGGCAGTAATCCAAAAAAAACAGAGAAATCACATGACGCTAGGGATACGAAGGCTGGAACACAGGACACAAAGGTACAAAGACAAACTGGCCCAGAGTGGAAGTAACACAGGAAATATAGACTCTAGTGAAGGGGACTAATTAAACTATCAAAATCATCAGGAAACACACAACGGCAGGAAGTGAAGTAGAACAGGACATAGGAGGAATAAAACTATAAAATAAAAAAAGGAAATACCCAACAAACAAAAACCATCATGGTTCAGATTGGGCAGGATGTTTAAGAATGTAGCAACGCAGCCAATCACAAATCAGCGACATCTCTGTGAGTTACAGCCAAGCTTATTAGCTTTTCTAAACATCTGGCTATTGACAGTTACAAGTAGGGAAGTGCTCTACTGAAATTATGTCTCTGTCAACGCTGAAACATAAAACTCACAATGAAAACCTTCCTGGACTGGCAAGTACTTGTGTATTGTGGTAGTTAAAGAATATAACCACATTGAGAAACAGCAAACTTTCCAGACAAACTTAAAGCTAAAAAATGTTTGAAATAGGGTGCTGAAAATCTCTGGCCCACCTACATTTCCTGTTTTTAAAATCTGCCCCATAAAAATTTGTTACTGAATAGCCCCACACAGTATGGTATCTTCCCTCTGTAGGATCCTGGTGTGGTTCCAGGACCAAGAACCTTTTTAGTAATTTTCATCTAGAGCTGTGTTCCAATGGGAGGAACTAAGTTTAGTTTCTGTACGATAGTTCCAGGTGTCCTTGTGTCATCTGGGTGGAGTTTGCAGGTCTGAAAAACTGTAACTTGTGTACAACTTCATTCACAAAATAAGGAAGCACAAGTTATATTGGCAGCTCTGTCAAAAGAAGATTTTGTGAACAAACTGAGTTTCCTTTTTAAAGCAGATCATCTACTCATGTTTTGGAGTTTTCAGTCTCCTTTTCCTCCTCAACATTTCTCCTTTTCATTCATAACATCCATTAAAACGTCAGAGTCACACAGTAAATACAACTGATGATGTAAAAATTGCACTTCAAATGCCGGCATCGTTTTCTAACCTATCATCAGTCTAAAAGTTACCGTCAATGAAGCGGTGCAGAAGTTGTTAAAGGGACATTCAGCTCCTAGTTTAGTTTCTGAGTAGCTCCACTGGTGTGAGTGCATGTTGCATTCACTCCTGTACTTCTTAAGCATGCACACAAGCTAAATCGAAAGCAAGCCACAGTGACTGATAGTTATTATGGACTAAAATATGTGAATAAGACCAAGTTGTCAAACACCAGATTTTCCCTTTAAGCGAGGCACTGTTCCCAGAGTTATAGCTGCCTGGGATTACACCACGGCTGCAGATTTGTCATTCAGCCCCATCCCAAAGTGACACAGGCACATCTGGCTCTGTGAGATGACCGTCCATGTTGCTGCATTCAGAGCAGACTACCTACGTAGTGCAAAAAGGAATTCAAAAGCAACCTGAGCCAGACAGAAACTCTGTGATGAACGAGCGCTCAGTGAGGCTGCAGCCACAGAGAGAGAGAGAGAGAGGTAGAGGAGTGTGTCGTTTCTCATAGTGATGTTTTCAGCCTCAAGCTTTTCAAGCACTGTAACCAAAATCTGCTCTGACACCAACCCTATAACTCAATCTACCCCCCTCTCTCTTTCTTTTTTCTATCTCTCTCTCTCTCTCAGCCATCTGTCTACTGTCATGTTGAATGAGCAACAGCTAGAGACTGCACTGTCATCCTCTGTTCGAGTGTGTGTGCATGTTTGTTGATGAGTTAGGAGCTCAGCGGGACATTTCCATCTGTATAGAAAAAGAAACAGACCTACAGATCCATTAATAATATTCACACTGGCAGCAGAAGATGCTCTTACTTAAGCCTCCATGTGTTGCTGTGGTAACGCCGAACATCACTACTCAACATCAAAAGACACGGCGAAGTGCTTTTGCTTCCGATGTGACTGTTGTTGGGGTTTTTGTAGTCCTTATAGTGGATGAGTTCATCACAAAATGACAAGCCTCACACTCAACAGCTTTTGTTGGAGTACTTTCTACTGAAGAAATAGTCTTTGTTGACAGTAGCCGTGTTTCCATTTAAGTATCACATTAGAAAAGTTTGATGGAAATGGCACAATTTGAAAAAGACGTCCTCAATGTTTGATGCGCTTAATGGAAGATGAAAAAGTTCTGAGCTCACATGACTGATCAGCTGTTTCCAAAAGTCTCCACGTCGCTGCCATGGCTCTATAATACATCCAGTCCACACAGATCTGATGAAACCTTCCTCACATTAATACACGAAACTAACTGAAATGTCACATTTTCATTTACTGCATTGTTTTTCACAATCTTTTAATTGCATCTCTGTCATCTCTTCTTCTTCTGCTTTTCCGACTGGAGAATTGGAGCCACCTACTGCTTATCTCATGAACCAACTCCTAATGGACCCACAACTCTAGTGGATGGAAACAAGCATTCATTTACCTTCTCTACCTCTTCATTTTCCTTTGCCAATTTCTTCAAAATTCTAGTAAAATTTGCGTTACATTTGGATGGAAACACGGCTACTGTGTTACGTGGACGGTGTTGATTTACTGCCATGTACAACAGCGACTCCTGGACAAATGAAACAATCTGCTTATACAGATACCACAAGAGGTCTAGTGTGTAGGATTTAGTGGCGTTCAGCGGTGTAGTTGCAGAGTTTAGATACTACTTAATTTGGAGGTAAAACTGCACCTGATTCCAACCTGTCTGATAGTTTGACTGCTTGTGTTTCTTCATCTCACTGACTTCTTTTTAGCGATGTTGCAGCGTTGGTGCAGAGTGTTAATATTACTGGTAGAAATGATGAACAAAACTACAAAAAATATGACCAAAGTTGTGATGAACTCATCTGGAATAAACCAGTGAGTGGTTATGTCATGCAATTATATCTTCTTACCCAGAGTCAGATAAAAAAAGATTTGGTCCTGGATGTGTTTAGCCTCATTTAGCACAAAGAAGCATATAAGCATTAAAAGCTGCTCGCGGAGCTCTTTTACAATAAAAACGACAAAATACACAGATTTAATTTCAGCCTTTTTCTCAGAGTGCCAATCTTTAATCTCTGAATTAATTTGAGTAATGCTGATTCTTCTGTTTATAGTTCGATTGGCTGATGCTTGAGCAATTTACGGAGCACTGAATGCTGATTGGTGGCAGCAGGACTTTTTTTGTGGTGTGTGTGTGTGTGTGTGTGTGTGTGTGTGTGTGTGTGAAGCTAGTTTAGCAGTAATAAATGGCTGTGTCTCTGTGAGTGTGCGCTTAAACAGTGATGGATGTCGCCTCTCTTTCTCTCTGTGTGCGTTAGGTTGTGTGTGTGTGTGTGTGTGTGTGTGTGTGTGTGTGTGTGTGTGACCGCAGCGGTCCCTCGTTAGCTCTCCACTGAGCCTTGCTAATGGCTAATGGACAAACAATTAACTGGCCCTTAACGAAGTTAACGAGTTAATGAGCTCGTTAAGACGACAACACTGGGAGAGAGACACATACGCATGCACACACACACACACACACACACTGTAAATGAGAGGGAAAATTGAAAATCTATAATCTCTTCACTTTCTCTGTGAACAGAACAACCTGACTAACAGTTTAAAGTCCTGCTAGCGTCCCCGAGAGCTTTACTGGAGCTGTGAGTCAGATGAAAAGTCATTAAAATCAAAAGGGTTTTTCCTCTGAGGAGCAGGACTATAGAGGTCTTCACTGGACTGATATTTGGAGAACTACCCAACTACCCAAAGAGGATGATTTCATTTTCAAAATCACACAGGGAACCGTGGACAAAAGGACAGTACTGGTCCAAAATGCAGGCGATCTAAAGCAATAAAGGACTGTAAAAAAAGAGGAGCAGTAATATTGGCTTTCCTGCACAGTTGATGGTGATTATGGATCCACTCAGGTAGAACCACAGACCTGAGACCAGTTCAGTGTTATGAATGCAGAGTGACGCTATGAATCGAGTTCATCAGGTGGGTTTAGAGGGAATATTATTTGGATCATCCCAGGTCAGGTCTCTGTTAGTAGGAATCACGTGGACCAGTGATATATTGTATCGATTCTCAAAAAAGCTGTATTGATTTTTGTGTTTAAACTCTTAACTGCTGGGTAGATAGCAGGGCTGTCAAACTGAGGGCTATGATGTTGGATGTTACAGGAGCTGTGTTAAATACAAATGCAGATCCCACTGTTCTGGTCGCATTAAAGCTGCAGTAGGTAATATTGATAAAATATAATATAATATTGGAGTCGGAGGAACCTCATTTTTTCACACATTATCTGTCTCATGTGCTACTGTCAGGATATAGTTAAAGTTTCAGCAAATATGACACACAAAACATATTTTATAAAAGTTACCTACTGCAGCTTTAATTTTAGAAGATTTATTGTGATGTATATGGTTTCGACAGGTTCCTGCAAATACACAGCTCTACTGTGGAGGCCTTGATAAGAAGGTTTTCAGTCTATATCAATATTATTGGGATTTTGGGTGTCCTTTGGGATTTTAGGGGTTAAAGTTGTTGTAATATTACAGATTTTAGGTGTTTCATTGGTTGAATTTTCAGTATTTTTAGAGTTTTAGAGAGATTTCTCAGTGTTAGGATTGTCCAACTTTTGCACTTTTCAAAACTTCTAGTTCAAGTGTTTTCAGGGCTTTGGGATTTTATGATGATAGGTTCAGGAGCTGTTATCAGGTTAAATCATTTATTTTTGGTACTGTATACATAGAAATAAGCTTGTAGTCTAAATAAAACCACTTAATGCTGTTTTTTTTAAAGATTATATAAGATTTAATTTTTTGCTTTTTTAAGATAGTGGACAATACAGAGAGATAGAAAACATCATATATGCATCTTAATATTGTTGCCTTTTTACAGTTTTTTGGGGGGGGAAAGAATTAGAAAATATGCAAAGACAGAAAGAGAGAAAGAGAAAAGACCTCAGCAGAAAACTAAGAAACGCACTTTTGTTGTTTTGACAGTTGTTGCGTTGAAGACGGATCACATTAGATCAGTACGAAGTGTGGCGAGACAGTGTACGTCCACACGTTGAAAAACAGAAAACACAGATGGACAAATAAACCGGCAAACAGATCACCGTCTGGATGCTGTTGCCATAGTGAAGGCTATCTCTCCCTCTGCCGTCACGTTTAGTCCCATCACTTGTTTTCAGAGCGGTATAAACAGGAAGTCTCTGCAAGCTGGATGGATTATGGTAATGTCTCAGAGGCCAGGTGCATGATGGGAATGGAGATGAATGTGTGGAGGTTGGTCGAGTCGGATATGAGGCAGATTATGGAAATATGGAGGTCTGGAATTTAGAGTTTCCTCAGCTCCTCAAAGACTTAGAGAGTCTTATCTGAAGCAGATTAACTTTCCCGTGGAGGTCTGTCGCTCTCGCTCTCTCAACCTGTCTGTCTCTGTAAATTAAAAAACTGTCTAAAAACCATTTCAGTGCAAGAACATTAAATCCCTTCACCTCCTCTATTCGTCCGTCACTCACTTTGATTGACACCTCCTCAGTAAAGGTCAGTCTTTTCCCTGCTCTACTTTCTCGTCGGTCACTCCTCTCTTCAGCCTCTCTGCTGAGCGTCAATAATCAGAATAAAACCAATAAAACTTAACATCACCTCTCTAAGTTCACTTTCTGTCCTCAACTGCCTGCCTCATTAATATTCATGAGCTGTGGGTGGAGCTGAAGGTCGATGCAGGAAGCAGGTGAGTGCCTTCTCTCCCCCGCCCCCCTAAAAAACATCATGAATGTTAATGAATGCACAAAGGAAGCTGGTTAATATTCATGAAGCGGTGGCTGTAACCCGGGCAGCTAAATAGCCCCGATGGCATTTAGAGGCCAAGTTTTTCTTAATGTGTTCATACTGTAGTTTATTCACAGACTCGCTCCCTCTCGCTCACTCACGCACACACCACAGACACCGAGGGTTACATCTGAGGGTTGAAGAGCAAAACGTACATCAGGATCTGGCTTCAAATTGAATTCATGTACCAGAATTCACCTCTGTGTATCCCGGACTCTGAACTAATATAAAAGTTCAGAAAGAGAAAAACTGTCAGAAAAGATGTCTGTATGGAATGCCAAATGGGTCAAAAATGTATTTCAAGTTTTTTTTGTATGCTGTTAAAAAGTGTTTAAAAAATAGGAAAAACATGGCCAAAACATAAAACTAAGCAGAGGAAAGTAGATAATATATTATGAATATTCTCACGTACACACACAGGATGTGTCATTCAAGAAACACATTGAAGTATGGTAGCTGGGATGTTCCAATCCAGAGAGTGAGTTTAATAATAAATATTATATATAATAAATAATTAAATAAATTTCATTTATTTTCTTGTTTCACTAAGAAGTCGTTGAATTGATTCTTCTGACCAGATCGGATTTTAAGAAGTTGTTATATTTTGGGCAGTGTGTAAGAAAAAATGGGCACAGAAACATTTTTACATACAACAGCTGGTTTTAATAGCCAGTTAGCGTGTAGTTAGTTAACATTTGAGTTATTTGATTTATAATCCTGGTGGTTAAGGTGCATACCATATACCTGACTTGATAATATTCACTGAGAACAGACGGGAACAGTTTTTTGTTGTTATAGTTGGTTTTTTCCACCGTGGATGAACCTATTTTTGTCATATTCTTTTAATTGTTGAGTGTAATTGTGAAATCGTGCTGGTTTTATTATTTATATATATATATATATATATATATATATAACATTATATAGACAGACAATTGGATAAAAAGTTCCCTCAACAGTAAATAATCTGCTCTAAATCCATCCAAAATACTTGTTTTACACGATGACTCCTGCTTAAATGACATATTTTAGGTCTGTTTACCAAAATTTGACTGTCCTTTTCTCTCTCCATCTCTGTCTCAGGGCTGGATACCTCCCACAAGGTGTTCCCTTACAGCTAATTGGCTATCTGCCGGAGGAGACGTCCTTCCTGCCGTGGCACGCCGCCAGCCGAGCGCTGTACCAGCTGGACAAACTGCTGGACCGCACAGACGAATACAGCCTGTTCAGTGTAAACACCCAGTCAATCAATTACCGTCTCAGTCTGTCCTTCAGTCAATCAATCAGTCTGTCAGTAACAGCTCCATGTTAGCAGGATAAACTGTCTGACAGCTGAGTGTTTGGTCATTAACGATTAACGGTGTGTGTGTGTGTGTGTGTGTGTGTGTGTGTGTGTGTGTGTGTTTCCAGGATTATGTGCTGAAGCAGGTTGCATCACGGTACCATCAGATGGGTTGGCCAACAAACGGTCCCGGCAACGAGGGCAACGTCCTGCAGGCGTCCTACCAGACTGAGTACGCAACACACACACACTATTATATACACACTCCTATTAATATGATAACACTAATAACATCAAGTGCACGATAAGTACAAAGGTCTGATGTGAACAGACTGTGTGGGCGTCTCCAAGTCTAACTGCTAATTTTCTTCATGTTTGTGTAAAAGCACAATATCCTAAAGGTCTGTATAAGGTAGAATATAGGTATCCAACTTCAGACAATGTTTCTGAAGTGTCTGATGACAGAATAATAAAATGAAATAATTGTAAACGATGTTTCTTCCTCTCTTCCTCTCTGCAGGGAGTTACAGAGGGAGCTCATCATGTTAGCTTGTAGCTTTGGGAACAAGCAGTGCCACCGTCAGGCCGTCGCTTACATCTCTGACTGGATCTCCAGCAACAAGAACAGGTACGAATACACACACATATACTGTATAATGCATACAGCCTGACTGGGAGCTGCTGGAGCTACAATTTGAAGCCAAAGTACACATTAAATAAATGTATCCCAAAGATTGTTTCTGTCTTTTAGCTAGATCTTATGTATCTGTGTAATGCTCAAGTGTTCATTGTTTTGGTAAGTTTGGTATTAATTAGTTCTTTGAAGCTATAACAAAGGGTGTTTAAATTGAGTTGGCTGGGCGAGACTTCGATTCCGTGGCGCCAACACCGATCACTACTGCTTACACTCTGGCTCTGAGTGGCGAAAGATGGCGGCGGCCGTATCCGGGATAGTTTGGCTTCAATTTTGTACAGTTGGAGGAGGAAGTGTAGACATGGCGTATATTGATGCGCAGTTGGTCTACTGGCTATTTTGGGGCGAATAAACACAAGCGGCCCAATTTGTGCAAATGTGACGATGTCTAAACTTACATTTAGTTTTAAATATTTTACTTGATTAATATACCTTTTAAACAAAGTGTTTAAAAGTAGAAAAACATGTTTTTTTCTAGAGGACTTAAGGAGAACTGTTGAGGGGGAAAAAAGAATTGAATTGGTTGAAATTAGATTTACTGTATGATCCTGGTCAGCCTTAGTTAAGTTTTAGAATAAGTTGCTTCTTCCAAATGTAATAAATTATTAAAAATTAAATCAAATCTTAATAGCAATGTTATCTATGGAACTTTTCTGTTGCTAGGATGAACAGGGACAGGCCAGGAATGCATCTAGAACCATGATATCAATGTTTATTTTTGTTTCCCTATTTACTCTGCAACACGCTGTATTCTGCCTGTATAGTGGAATTTAGAGAAAGACCCAGGGGGAAGGGATAAGGAGCGATCAAAGTCGCAGGTGTATGTTTTCTACTGCACTGTACTGTTTACTGTCTCAGTCATAATGTATGGCTGTTATTTGAGTTATTGTTAGTGAAGAGAAAAGGTGGGAAAACAGGTATTTTTATACTCTGCCTTATTTATTTCCCTGTCTATTAATTCTCCTGGCAGGCTTTTTTGTGTTGTTACTGTACTGACAGATGATATTTGTTGATCACCTGCAAACATTATGGAAAAAAGAATAAAAAGCTGTAACCTATAAAGGTAAAATATGCTACATCCAGGATCCATTTGTTGTTTTCTACATTCATTTTTTTTCCTGTCTGCCTCCAACTTTTTTCTCTTTCATGTGCTGCTGGCTCGTTTGCACCCTCTGGGTCCTTAACGAGATCTGCAAAATTAGATTTCAAACAGCAAATTAAATAGAAACAGATGCTGGTGTTCTGTAAAGGACAGCAGGGAGCTGATGATGAGAGGCATGCTTAAATTAAAAAACAGTAAATTAAAGACTGTTTCAGACTCCGTCCAGCAGATTTTGTGAATGGTTTTCTCGGCTAATGTCAAATACGTGTTAAATGGTCATTATCTTACAACTAGATATTTCTATTTTTGCCTTTTGCACAAACTTTCTTCTCCACTTTCCTTCCTTCGTTATCAAAGTTACGTTGTTGTTTACAGGGCGAGCAATGAGGGAGCCGGTCACATGAAAACCATATGGCAGCTTTTTGGAAAAGCTCCATTTGTTTTCATCCTCGCTACAACACAAGTGTGGCCCCCTTTTCTTAAATTTGAAAAGCAGTTTGGAAATGCTCCACTTTCCGTGGTGGAAAAGTGCCGGATAAGTCCACATTCATGCAGGATTAATCTTTCCAGGGGTGGTTTTTTAATATTTCATGCTCTATTCAGTGGTTTTAATCCCATCTTGAGATCACATGTATGTGGTTTCCCTCTCCCTGCCAGAGTATTAATTACAGATCCGCTTTTTATCAGAGTAATTGAAGTGTAGCCAGGCTCATCTGACCGGAGAACACATACAACTGAACTCTATTTAGCACTTGTGTAATTCTCAGTACATTAATTCTGTGCTTTTGCAGTGATGTGTATGAAAGTGCAGCTACAGTCCCGAAGAACAGTGACACCAATAGAGCTGTGCCTTTGATATAAAAGAGTCAAACCGCAAACCTGTGTCACACCTGCGTCTCTCGCATGAAAAGAGTGTTAGGAACCACCTGCTGTAACTTGACTCTGGCCACAATCCCGTCCAGAACAATGAGTGTAATTACAGCATAGCAGTGCTGATATTTCACCGCCTGCATCACCCTGGAATATTAATCATGTCCCACTGGGGTTTTATTGTAAATGAACCATCTAAATGGATCAAAAAAGCTTGGCTTTAAATTTATCTTAGTGTGGCTGCAGCCATTGATGGATTAACCTGGTAGGGGGTCCTGGGGCAACAATGGGCTGCTGGGCCCCCATTAACCCCCCGTTCCTTCCACTCTCTGTGCATTGTGTTCATTATTTCTATGCTCAAGTGGACTACCTGCAAAAGGTTGTATTGATTTATTAATTAGAAGCATATTAAGCACAATACTGAACTGATATAGGTATTAAAACTAGATTTTCTAGGCGTGTTAGAGGCTCTCAGTGGAATGTTTGTCTGTTAGTCGGGCGGTCGATCTACTACTTTAGTCAGATGAAAATATCTCAAACTACTGGAGGGATTGCCATGGGATTTGGAACACACATTCAGGTTCCCCTCAGGGTGAACTATAGTAACTTTGGTGATTTTCAGCTCAATTTTATCTATGTAGCGTGAAATCAAACCACAAGTTGCGGACCATCAACATCAATACAAACCTCTACCTATCAGGAAGAAGACTAATAATAGTAATACTTATTGCAATAGATCAATGTGCAATAAATACACTTAGCATTTTAATTCTAACAGTTTCTAACAGTCTCTCTTTAAACTGCCGTGTTGTCAGTCAGTTTCTTCTTTTTGTGAAGATTGTAGCATGGTGCCCAAGACACATTTCCACCTGGGGACAATAAAGTATGTTCTAAATATCCTATAAGTTATCTCAGGACACTTTTCATACAGAGAGTAGGTCGAGATTGTTTTTTACTCCAGTACAGTATGAATGTACTTTTAAGGGATACACAGTCAACAATGCAACCAATTGAATACCCCTCACCTTTAAAGTGTGTAGGAGGAACTACACAAAAGGCTTTATCTAGAGCCAGCGTTTGGTTTGGAATTGGACCTGGACAGTGTTCTCCTGCGAGAAAGTCCTGTGTTTGACTCATCCATCCACTCCAACCTCCTCCTTACGTGGACTTTTGTCTCTTTTTATGCCGCGTCACCTGACTTCCTCTATTGCTCCCGTCATAATTACAACGGCCACCAGAGGTTACCGCCTAACAATAGTCGCAAATGGGTTGTAATAAGCTGCTTGCACAGATAACAAATTAAGGACGGGGCTGGCTTCAGTTGCACGTCTCATGTCCGGTGTGAATTTTGGGGTAACGACATATGCCGCAGTCACAGCCACAGCGCCGCAGTCATCTTTAGTCAGGGTGTAATTACCTGACCGAGCTCATGTTCTGTCGGGCAGTTTAAATGTTTTATCACTCCGCCGGAGTGATTTTCAAAATTCATAGTGACACTTAGACTGCAGAGTCCGACCGACAGACACAGCAGATGGTGGAGAGACATGTTTACTGTCAGAATGGGACTTTGATTCAAAGAGGAATTGAGTGGGAGGGAGAGATATTTCAGGAGAAAGATAGAGCTTTAGGACATAAAACATCCTCTACAGACTGTTAAAAACACACACACACACACACACACACACACACACACATTCTCTCTCTCTCTCTCTATCTCTCTCTGTGTTAGTTAATGGGATCAGAGCCATCTGGAGGTTTCCAGAGACTCTCTTCCATTTTATATTCTGCAAAGAAAAACTCACATTATTACTATTATTTTTAATAGCGATAGGAGTAGCAGCGTTGCTGGCAATAGAAGTTATACAAGAGTAATAGTAGCAGTGCTATAAATAGTCTCTGTAGCAGGAGACACAGATGCACTTAATGTTTTACATGACAAATAACCTGGTAGTAGCTTAGACATCATCTTATCTGGTTAAACACACTCGCATTTGTAAATACACACACTTGAGTACACAGTGTTTGGCAGATGTCGTCTGAGAAGGACTTTAACGCCGCAGTCAGCAGTAATGTGGAAGTTAGCCAGTGTGTGTGTGTGTGTGTGTTTGTGTGTGTGTGTTGAAGCTTGCTCTTAAGTGGAGCATCTCTAAAATGATTTCCCAGGTCGGTGAATGATGTAATTGTCCCTGCATCACTCACTCTGCACACAGTGAATGCACACACACACACACACACACACATAGGGAATACACACACACACACACACACACACACACACACACACACACACACACACACACACAGGGATACACACACACACACACACACACACACACACACACACACACACACACACACACACACACACACACACAGTGTTCAGTATATAATTTTTGCTGCCAGCTGAGCTCACTGTATTGTGATGAAAGTTTTTAGTTTTGGTTTACTGACAATTTAGGTCAAGTACAAACACACACACACACACACACACACACACACACACACACACACACACACAAAAACACCTACACACACACATACAAAAACACCTAAACACACACACACACACAAAAACACCTACACACACACACACACACACACACACACACACACACATTATAGTGTGAAGGAAATGTTCACCTTTTTTTTCTTTGCTTTACTGATGATTCAGGCCAGTAACCAGCTGGGACATGGAGTGTGTGTGTGTGTGTGTGTGTGTGTGTGTGTGTGTGTGTGCGCGCTATAGTGTTTATAATAGGGTTGCACAGTGTGTTAGAAACATCGTATTGCTTATATATTCATCATTCTGACAGATATTAGGATTAAAAAATTATCCACAATTAGCGGGAATGATCATTTTTGCATCACAAATATTAACTTTCACCAACAAAATCATGACGATGTGACATTTTTGAGGTTTTCTGTACCAAACAAACATCTGGAGCTTTGTAGGCCAGGACACCTCTGCAGCACTGCAGCACTTCATTAAAATGCTGGTTTGTGACACATTTTACCTTCTGCAGCTTCCACAATTTGCATGTTGCACTCGGCCATATTGCAATTTAGATAATATTTCAATTAATTGTGCAACCCTAGAATAAAAAAACACCCTGCAGCAGAGACAGTAGTGTCCTGTAGTAACTCCAGTTCTATGAGTATGAGCTCCTGGAGCTCACTTACCCTCCACCAGGAGCTCCTTCTCCAGTAGAAAGCTGAGAGACAGTTTGTGTAACCAGAATTTATCTGCTTACAAATGACACAGCAGTGCAATATTGTACTGTTTACTCCACTGATTTTTCTTAGTTTTAGTTACTAAAAGCAGTGGTTCTAGTGGTAACAATTGATGTATTGTACAATGAACCCAAACAGCGAACGGAATAACTGCAGGAAGCTTGTGTCAAACGAATTTTGAGCAGATTATTACGAGGAAAACTAAATATTCCTGATTTATCCACAGGAATATTTAGTTTTCCTCATAATTTAAGGAACTTTTTATACAATTCTTTGCCTGTATTGTGTTATTTTCCTTGATTTTAACAATTATACAAACTTAATTGTGTTATTTTTTGACAAAATCAGTATTTTCTTCTTATTGTTCCATTAGCTCCTTGGTTGTTTTAACTATTCTAAAACAAGGCTGTTCAGCAGAATATGTGAATACAGCATGTTCAGATCATCAAAGTTTAGTCTTAAATGATAGTCTAAACCATTAAAAATAACAATATTCACTGTGAAGCTTTTTATAGTTTTTTTTTTTAACTAGCCTAGCACATAGCACATCGCATATAGCATATACAGGAAAGGAGGAAGTTGACCTTGGATTGCTTAGCTGATTGGAGCTCAGAGCAAAAAGGGGCGGGACTTAAGAAGGGTCAGTTGTATTTTTGTTAACATTGGATTTCATTTAGATGTAAGTGCTAGCTATGAAGGTTATGTTAGTACCAGATTATTGAGAGTTCTGTTTTCCTGGTGGGAGATATCGTTACCATATCTCCTCCTTTGAACTACAACTGACTGACATGAACATTTTTTTTTCGATTCGGCTGCTCGTAACAACAACATGGTCTTCACCCACAATCTTTCCTCCCACCAGGTCGGGTATTTAATCAGGGAACGGTTCGAGAAGTGAGTCCAGGGGCGGGTTCCCATGTCATGGCTCAGTACCTAAGAACAACGCATCTATTATCAGACATTAATGAATCCAACCATATTTCGATTTGTCATTGCAAATATCAAGGACAGTGGAGACAGAAGCTTTATTGTCAACAGTTAGTGCTGCTTCAATAAGCCTCATTTATATTCCTAAAGTACTCCCAACACAATATATTCAGAAGTGCACATGCCAATTAGGGATATTGAGACTTTTTGGAGTTCCATTTGGGGGGAAAGGGTCTTTAAGTGTGTCTCTGCGTTTTATGACCAGAGTTCACAAGATAAGTGAAGGGGTGTTTTAATGGAGCTCACTAATGGAATCAGAATTTCTCTCTCAGCACCCGGAGAGAGTTGGACGTGTCTTATTAGGGTTTTTAGTTTTATTACTAACACACCCTAGTCTCTGTTGCTTTTTACCGCACAGAAGTAAAATCTAATACTCTGATGGGCTGGATGTTTTGTCTTTGTAGGATTCCTCCCAACATCAGAGACATAGTTTACTGCACTGGGGTCAGCCTGATGGACGAGGATGTGTGGGAGTTCATCTGGATGAAGTTTCACTCGTCCAACGCCGTTTCAGAGAAGAAGATCCTGCTGGAGGCTCTGACCTGCTCGGACAACATCTTCCTCCTCAACAGGTTTGTGTCCGTGTGTGGTAGGAACAGGATGCTACATGGTTTAACCTTGTCTGCATTTTTCAGATAATGTATATTACAGCTTGTTTTATACTATTAATATTATTGATCTGAACATTAGAAGTGAATTTCTCCCTTCTAAGAAACAATAAATTAGCATTTTTACCATAAGCGTATACAAGCGGATGCATACTTTATGTGTTTGGTGGAATAAATGTCCACAAGGGGGCAGATCAGGGGCAAATCCTCTTCGGTAAACCCCTAAAATATCTTTAGTTAAAAGTTAAAATCACAGCAGACAAAAACAGCAGCAGCAACAGATTGTTATGCCGGGATGAAACTGGTCACTGTGTTAGATTCTTGGCCAAGAGACATGGCAGTAGACCCCGTCCAATCAATGGTCATCTTCCACAACTTGTGACGTACAGAGGTCATTGTTAAAAGCAGCTATAATAGCAATGCATCAAAGGGAGCTTATTGTTTAGCTGCCTGGGCCATAAATGTACTGTTTTGGTTTACTCTCATAGCGTACCAGTCTATTAACCCCCTGTACGCTACCTGCTCAGCAGCCAACAGCTGACCAGCACAGTTAGAGACTAGCTGGTGAACATAGTGGAGCGTTCAGCAGTTCAAGAATCAGATATTTCCCTCGGGAGTTGGTAGAGACCAAAAACAAAGCTAAGAGAGAGTGAATATTGTTCTCAGACAATCTGTAACTGTTCCCCATCAACTTAAAGGTAATGATATGTCAACATCAGGTACACAAATAGTTTTTGCTGCCCCCAGGTGGCCATAAATTCTGGTTTAAAGAGTAACTTAATGTGAAATCCACTTTTTTGAGTTATTAAATTGAGTAGTTCTTTCATCTAGACTGAAAAGACCTTTAAGATAGCCCTGTTTTATAATATAATATTATATAATATTATATTCATTTAAACAAAAAATACACATTAACATTATTTTTTATTTTATTTTTATTTATTTAACCTGTATTGAGCCAGGGAAAGACCCAGTGAGACCGAGGTCTCCTCTTCGATGGTGCACTGGATACACAACACACATACAATAAACCACAAAACAATAATAACAACAACAAAGAAATACATAAAACTGTCCATAATTATTATCTTAATAGCTTATTATTGTATGCATGATAACAAGGTATGTTTATAAATGGCACAAATATATACAATGTTATATGTATATATGTAGTAAGGGGTCCCTGCTCTCAGCTAAGGGGGTCAATGTCCTGAAAAAAGACCTCTGTCCTAGGACACTACCACAAACATTACAATCACTACACAACAAATGAGTAATAATTATTCTCCTCGTTGCCCCACGTCTGTCAGATTATTATCAACCAGATATAGTCTGAATTTCTCATCGGAAAGTTCCTCCATCATCGCTGTGTTTCACTCAGAGTTTGCCCATAATACATCCCCATAAAATTCTCCCACCGTTCCTGTACTTAATTGCATCTCACAGACACGCTGTGCATTAATTCATGAGCACACACAACAGTGCTTGCAGAAGAATGCAGCTATAATTGATCTGTTTGGCAACTTAGTGGCGGCAGAACAAGCTGCATCACAACAAGTTGCTGTGGGGAACATATTAGCAAACTGCTTACACATCCAGCAGACATGAAGCAACATTCATTTGGAGAAGTGTTTGTGTCCAATATTCACTCTCTTTTAGCTCCTTTTAGCTCTGTTTTTGGTCTCCACCGCCTCCTGAGGGAAATAATCGGACTCTTTAGCTGCTAAATGCGCCACTTTCTCCACCGGCCGCTCTCTTAACAGTGTCTGTGTTTGCTGTTTAGTGCTGACCAGGTCGTGTACAGTGGGTTTATCAGAGCTTGTTTTCTGAAAACAGCTGCCTGCTCCTGCTGGAGATTAATGAGAGCTGTGAGACTGAACCACAACAGTAAAGTTTCAGGCTGTAAAATTAAACCAATACGTTGACAGACACTAAAACAGTAGAGCCGAGGGGGAACTGCTGAGTTTGGTGAAAATTCTCTGTGGATTTGTCAATACGAGCCATCCTTTTTATATTGGATGGATCCATTGTTAGCAAAGAAACAGGGAGCAGCTTCAATCTTTAAATGCTTAAAGGGACAGTTTTCCTCTTATAGTGGCGTTTATCCATCCAGATTGCTTTGGTGTTGCTACCTGGATTGTACCTCTTTATGAAGGGTTTCACTTTTTAGCTAAATCAAATTTAAAAGGGGTAAAATATGTATTTTTGATTTTTGGAGGGAACTGCCCCTTTAAAAGAGGACATATGTGATAATAACAAAAAGTTTGACCAAGAACTTGACTAAATGCTGACTGCGATGGATTTTTACTGCAGCGAGGTTGATTTTCATGGCACACTGAAAGAGAAACAGACTGCAAATTGAATGCAAGGTAGAGAGAAAAATGTGCCCGAGGCCGTACATGTACATAAATGGCCTTCTGTGTAACTAAGTGTGTGTGTGTGTGTGTGTGTGTGTGTGTGTGTGTGTGTGTGTGTGTGTGTGTGTATGTGTGTACGTGCGTATTTCATCAGGAGCTAAGTGCTGCTATCTCTCGCTGAGAAAAATAGCGACGATGGATCTCTCACACACACACACACACACAAAACTGTACAGTGAGACGGATCGTTGTCTGTGTGTGTGTGTGTGTGTGTGTGTGTGTGTGTGTGTGTGTGTGTGTGTGTGTGTCAGGTATTGATTTTCCAGCCACAGTAAACTGTTCTGCAATCAGAGTGGTAGTACTGCATGTTCGGATAGCAGCTATCACACACACACACACACACACACACACACACACACACACACACACACAAACACACACACATACACACAAAATCAAAAACCACCGCACAGAAACACACTGATTGGTCACACAGGAAATGGTTTCAGCACAGAGGGATTGTGGGAAAAGAGAGAGAAAATTGATTTGGGGGGTTTAATGAAAAGACAGCAGCTACAAACAACCAGCTAACACACACACACACACACACACACACACACACACACACACACAGAAAAATACAGAGAATGAAAACAGAAAGTGAAGGAAGATGAAGGTTTGATCACAGTGTTGGATGAATGAACATCCGTCTTTTCTGTGAAACTCTTATTTCCTCACATCTAAAACAAAACACTTCAGAAACTCAGATTATTGTGTTTACGCGTTCCAAATGATCAGGATCCTGCAAACAAACGTACGTATGATCACCAGGTTTCTGTAAATCCCCCCCCCCCAAATCCCCTCAATCTCTGAAAATCAGGGTGTAATCAGATTACTGTGGCTCATTTAAGTGTTGTCTCAATTTCAGAGGAGTGGTTTGTGGTTTGACAGATACACCCTGAGGCAGGGCTCCTAACAGCAAAACAAAAAACATCAGCCTGTGTCTGTGTGTTTGGCAGCTGGATACGACGGCTTTCTGAAGACAATACACACCTGGAAATGAAAAATATCTTTGCACTAATGTTTAATTTAATTTAGTTTAATTTATTAAATGAATTTAATATTTGACATCTGTAGTAATGTTGTCACCATGGTTACCGAGCTGTGTCTCTGTGTCTCCCAGGTTACTGAACCTGTCTTTGACCTCCGACCTGGTCCCCGAGCAGGACGTGATCGACGTCATCATCCACGTGGGTAGAAACCCGCAGGGTCGAAACCTCGCCTGGAAGTATTTCAGAGAAAAGTGGGACATCCTGAACGCGCGGTGAGTCCACGTTGATCTTTACTGTTGAAGTGTAAAGGCCAGGACACACCAACCCGATGGCCGATCGTCGGCAGGAAAGCAGGACACACCGAACTGACTCGAGTCACCGACCTCGCCCGTATGTTCGATGACGTCCGACGATAATCGGGTTGGTGTGTCCGGGCCTTAAAGAAAAACCAAAAATGGGCAAACGGAAATATTAACTGTGTCTCTCGCTGTCTCTGCTCAGTTATGGTGAAGCGCTGTTCATGAATTCAAAGCTCATTGGCGGAGTCACCGAGTTCCTGAACACTGACAGAGAACTCAATGAGGTAAACACACACACACACACACACACACACACACACACACACACACACACAACCACACACATTATTGAGGCTCTGCAGTGACTTTGATGTGCCAATTTACACACTTTCAGTCTAACTAACTTCACGGATATAATGGTAAAAAGAAAGAAATAATACTATCACACAGTCATTCGACACAATAACAGAAGGACCTTCTGTTATCGACAAACACATCAAATATCACATCGTGCTCCAGGCTTTTATCAAGCTCAGGTGATGAAAAAACACCATCCAATCAGCGTAGTCACGCTTTATAACAAGAAAAACATCCGACTGCGACTGACTGTGATTCTTCTTTTAACCGTGACGGTAAAGTAGTTATTTTAAAGATATAATATAATTTCTGAATTAAAATGTCTGAAACTGCTAGACTTACGTTATATATTTGAATATATATTTTGAATCCATACTGCTCCAATACAGTGGCTCTAAAATGTATTTATTGCTGTGGTCATGGAGCGCACCGACGCAAGTATACGTACCGTTACTCCTCTAGATTCTGTTGTGTTAAATCTACTTCCTTCTGTTGGCTGAGTTCTTATACTACATGTTCTACAAAAGGACTGCACTTAACTTTAAAAATATAAAAAGTCATAATTTAGAACATGATCTCTACAAAGCCTTCAACCGAAACAGCTGTCCTCTTACCCAACAACTCCACAACCACAGATCTTTTAATTGCTCATATCCCCATCTAACAGAAATTAAATGAAATTTAAAGCAGCAACAAGGGGACTTTTAATTTTCTGTTGATTCTGGCGCCCCTTGTGGACAAAAGCGGTAACGTTTCCACCGCCTTGTTTAATTTTATTTAAGGGGAATCTGTCCCAAATAACTCATCTTCTTGCTGATGATCTTGTTTGTTTATGTAGGTCATATAGAGGCAGATCAGTATTAAATTGAGACTGTATATCTCCTTCAAATTAATTATGCCATTGATTACTCCTCCAGAAAAATACCTATAGTCAACAGAGACTGTCGCCACATGTATTACACACACGTATATTTATATTTTATGTAATAAAGTGGTTGTCATGAAAAGATGTTTTACCAAAAGGAGAAAAAAATCTGAAATAAAATGTAAGCAGAAGTTTCTTTTGAATCCAATGTTCACAACCTCACATTTTCTACAAACATAAAGGGTTGTGGGTGTTTCTCAATAAAAATCTGTCTCTTCATTTCTTTCTTTTTGTGATGAAACCATTTTGTTTGAGGTCTCTACCACTCCTGTTGGTATGGTAACAAAAAGCGGCCTCAGCGTGGGCTTTAGTGTCTGTGAAGCCTCTGAACAGCATCAAAAAATGGGACCCCTGAATACAAAAAACTGCCTCAAATGAAAAGAATGGTGTGCCTTTTATTTTCCTGAAAATGTTTTTGAGAGAAAAGTCTGCTTCCGCCCACCGAGCAAATTTTAAAAACCGGTGAGTCACAGAGGGAAGGAGAGTGTTTAAAAACTAGAAAGTGTATGATGGAGGAGAAAGCAGGAAGAGAAAGAGGGAAGTGAAGGAGAGCAGCGTTAACAATATATGCTGTGTTAAAGCGAGTTGAAGGGAAGGATTTTCTCCTGTGCTCCAGTGAATCCGTCAAACTCTGAACAACTCTTAAGTTTCATCTTCAGTCCTTAACTTTAAAAAAAAAAGAAAAGAAATATCAAATTAATTATCTTACTTCAACAAAGTTTCTCTTCCGAAAAGGTTTCTCTTTAATACCTCACCTCTCTCGCCTGGGAAACTGTCCATTTAATTACCGTCCTTTAAGACAAAGTTTCACTTTGATACCTCGACTTTCATGCCGGAAATTTTACCTATAATTACCGGCCTTTTAAAAGAGAAAGTTTCTGTTTAACTGCCATCAAGAAGGGAAAGTCTCCTTTTATGGAAACATCAAGAAACCTTTCGTTTTTGATCCGCATGGCTGCACTTTGAGCTAGAATAAGATCTACTATATGGCCAAAAGTATGTGGACAGCATGTGTTCTGTATTCCTATTTCAGTTTTCTCTCTGTAAATGATATCCTTCAATGTTACTTAACACAGAAACACAGAATATTATTTTAAACAAATACAAAAAGAATCTGTTAAACATCTACAAATATAGTCGGACTATCAAAATAAAGCGTTACCTAATGTTTTCCAGTTTGGTGTGGAAGAACTTGGCCTGTTCCCACCATAATCTGTGCGCTAGGGCCATTTATAGAAACATTTTGACCCCATTCCCATCATATTGTGGGATGTAATGAACTTTTTAGCCTCTTGGGGTTGCAATATTTCTTATCTTCACAGAGGGGTTTCTAATAATCTAATTACTTTTCTATCATCTCCTTTTCTTCATATCTTCTCTCACCATTTCTACTTTTCCCTATCTACTCCTTCTACCCTCCATTATTTCCCCTTCCTTCGTCCCTTTCTCTCCTCAGTTAAAGGAGTTCATCCAGTCCAGTGGCGTGGGGGCGGGGCCTGCGTTGCCGCGGGCGCTGGAGATCGTTGAGGGCAACGTGCGCTGGCACCGCCTCCACCGGCGGCAGTTCTACCAGTGGCTGCGTAAACCTCCGAACCCCGGCCTCGGCTAACGCTGCACGAGCTAGCTAGAGCGAGGCGACGGCAAACTGACTGCTGAGCTAACGCTAACACACTGCTAGTTTACAGATGCTGTCAGAGAATGAAAAAGAGTTACTGAATGAAAGAGAAAGACTGACTTGACTGGTTGTTCAGCTGGTTTCTCTACTGGTTTTGCTTTTAAAAACGTATTATTTCAGATGGATTATTCGTGTGGTTCAACTGGTTTCTGCGCTGTGAAAAAGTACAATTTATGTGACTAAACCTGCTAGCTAGTGGTCACTGATTCAGCTATTGCTGGCTATAGCAGCTAGCCTCGAAACAATGCATTGAAATTATTTAAGAAAATTCTTGAATTTGGCAAAAATTAGATACTACAGCAGTAGCTAATGGTTGGTACTGTTGCTTATTGAATTAAAAACCAAAAACTATGTTTCCAGGAAGTTTTCTCTAAACTACAAAACAACCAACTTTTAATACTTTTATTAATACGTAATTAAGACTTTGTGGAACCTTCCTTACATACGTGATATACTGAAAGTTAGAAGTACGATATGTGTTGTGATGTGACCTTACGTTAAAATATTAAATGTTTGGTCAGGTGACACTGGCATTGAGCTTTCCAAAATAAAATACCGAAATGTATCGCTCTTAAAGGAACAAGCACAATCTCTTACACGATGAAGATTCATATCTGTAGTTTTCTGTATTTTGATGGCTGGCTAAAGATGAAGCTTGTGTTTTCAGCCCCCTCCTCCCTTCGGAGCCAATCCAAATTCCTCACTAACCCAGAACAGTTTAAATCGGACCTTCCTGTGTTCGCTACATTAAACCAGCTGACAGTAAAAGGCAGATTTCCCAGCAGTCGGCTGCATGTCGATCATTGAACAGAGTTGTAATTAACACTACATGGACTTTGTGTCCTCTGATCACAGCACTCAGAGGACTCATTCAAACTCATTAACTTGCCACAACATTCAAACCGCTTCAGCTTGAATTTGAAAAAACAGCAGCTTTGTGTGTTTGTGGGGTTTTTTTAAGGATCAAAAACAACAGCAGTTTGGAAAATATCAGCGGGTTTGGGAGGCTTTGCTGGGGCTTTCACTTTAGAAATGTACTTTGAATATAAAAGCTCATTATAACTTTTCAAAATTTTACTCTAAACCACAGAGAACAGCGAATTATTTTCCACTAAAAAGCAGCAACATTGTGGTCTGGGTTTTTTTTGTGTTTGAACCAGTGGAGCTGGAAAACATTTTAAACAGCGAAAAAAGTGTTTGTTTTACTCACATAAAAGGTAGAAACAGAGACTGAGGATCTGACATTATAGATATTGTGTAGAAGTTGGATCGACAAACAAAAAACAAAGATGTGAAAGTACCAGTTTCCATTTTCCAATCTCCCACGTGAGAAGTATATATATATATATATAACTCTGTATTCTGTGACATCAATAAATTTAAATGTTTTTACCTGATGTGAAGTGGAAAAATCTAATGATTATTGAAATACAACATAATAACTCCCTTTTGAAGGATATTTGGATACATTTGATGGTTTACGAGCCATAAAAATCGATCAAATCAAGACAAGAGACAAGAGTTGTTTCTTCTAACTGGTATTTTATTCCTAGTAATCTGTTGTTGATTCAGAAAAACAACACAACGAGTCCATAAATTACGAAGTGTAGGTCCAGTTCTTCCTCATTTTTGAATGTCAGACTTTGCTGTTTTAGAAACTCCTTTGTTCACTCTTTACTTTTATTTTGTAGTAAACTAAGATAGCAGAAAACTACCAAACAGGGTCACAGCTGACATGGTTTCATATCAAATTAATGCATCTGTCCTTACGGTCAGTGTACTTTGAGGCCAAACAAATTGTTTGCCAACTACCATCTATAGGTAAAGGAACAAAGAACGGAAAACAACCCATTTTCCATTTGATTTTTGTTTCGAAAATAAAAATGGAAATATAAAAACTACTTACAAAAATCTGTTGGCCACAAACTACACTGACCCACCAGCATAGAGAAAGCCTTACATAATGGAATCTGTAGCCAAAACTACAACAAAGTACATACGTCACACATTTACAAATTCAGACACTAGTGGTAGAAAGTAAACCACTAAACTAAAATAAGGAACGATTTTTGACACAGCTTATGTTTAAATTGTTTGCCCTAAACTCCACCCTAATTAAATCTATCACCCAATGAGTTTGCTCCTTATCTAGTGACCTTGTAAATAAAACCTGACAGTAACTCCTAAGAGTCAGGGGGGACTGACGACTGACGACAGACTGCAACCACGGAGATTAAAACTGACCAAATCTGAACACATTGGTGGTTTCACAAAGCACAAAACCAGAAAGTTGTTGGATGAATCGGCCTCAAGCTGCTGGACAGAAGGATTTTTTTTTTTTTTTTAGCCAATCAATGGTTAGCTTTTCAATCAAACCCCTTTTTTCTGTCCCCAGATTGACGAATAAACGAGTGGGTAGTGAAATAGGGGGCAAGGAAATGGCCAACGAGACAATTAAGAACTATCTGGGTGTCATTATATGCAGATGATGCTGCTTTTTAAATGGGACTGTAATAACTGCATAAGGGGAAATGACAGACTCGAGGCTCATAGTCGGTGGACTTTTACAGCTCATGTGACAAGATTCAGACACAGTGGAGGAATTTACAGCATGACAGATTCTGCAGCATGATGGATTCTGTGGTGTGATGTGGATTTACAGCGAAAGAGTTTGGTGGACAACTTTGTTTGTGTAGGATTTTTGATGGCGAGATGAAAACGGACATCATGTGATAGTATTTACAGCCCTAATGACTGTTCACTCCACAGTTTGACAGGTTTAAGTCTTGGGTGCGACAGAACCTTGTTGACGGAGAAAATGTCTGATTCTGTGAAGGTTTATCAAAGAAAGTATGACGGACTCAACAGGTCAACAGATTTTCAAGCAGCCTGGATTGTACAGTATAAAGACGGATTTTACAGGGTCGTAGATGTCTGCCCCCCCCAGAGTGTGGAAACAATGAGCTGGACACAGGAAGCGCTGAAAAAATACACCTGTATGAACTTTTTGGGGTGGACCAACTTGGAGAAAAGGACTTAAAAAGAATTATAATGAACTTTTTAAAAGTCTGGTGGGCTGATCCTCCGTCCTGTTGAACAGACATTTTGAAGTTATTCCCCTTCTGTTAGATCCGGCTTTGATGTTTGATAATTGAGCCATATATGAATTAACGGGCCTGCCTGCTTCTTTACACTGTGTGTCCAGTGATGTGTGTGTGTGTGTGTGTGTGTGTGTGTGTGTGTGTGTGTGTGTGTGTGTGTGTGTGTGTGATGATGATGATGAAGATAACAGCAGCACTGGTGGCGATGATGACTGCTGTGCCAGTCACGATGATTAAAATTATGATAATTAAAGTTATTATGATTATGATCAAGACTGAGGACGATGAGGACGATCAAGTCAGTAACTGTTGATGTGAAAAAGCTAATTAGTATTATTATAATTATTATGCTAATTATTCAGTGCATTTTCCACCTGTATTGTCCTGTCAGGGAAACTTGGTTTACAGACAAGCACACAACAAATCTGCCCCATGTACAATAAACACTGTAAAACATACAAATATTTAAAATTAAAATGTGGAATTTGATAATGTTGAAGTGGATGTAAAAAGGTGTTATTATGATCATGATGATGGTAACGATGAGGAAGTAACGACGACGACGACGACCAAAATGTGATGGAAACAGGAAGTTACAGAGCAGAGTTTCATCCTACTTCCTGTTTGCACTGCTGTGGTTTCCTATGTTTTCTGATTGGACGATATTAAAATGGTTAACCTTGTGTGTGATTCAGTCTGTTTCAATCCAATGCTTATACTAACTAGCGTTTGGTTGCAGAGAAAAACAGTAATTAACCGGCTCACAAATCTACATCAATTGTTAGCTAACTAGCTAGATAATTTCTCCTCACACTCTCCCACACATTGGTATTGATGGCAGCCTGTTGCCATGGAAACAATGTGAACCATCAGGTGACGCACTTCTCGCAAATACATCCCGACAAATTGCTCCCGGCAGAGCGTTTTCATTATTTAACTTCGGGCGGGAAGGAGAGAAAGACTGAACGGTGTCAGGATTCAAACCAGCAACCTCTAGAGGTCTCCCTGAGTGTGTGTCTGACATCTCTCTAAACTTCATCCTCACTGATGAATGACTCTACTGTTGTTCCCACAGCATCATGGGAAATCTCGGCGTGGATACACACTGTGAGTTTACGCTGTGTGTGTGTGTGTGTGTGTGTGGAGATTAATGGGACTCGGAAAGGATGTGACAGAGAGAGAAATGAGCTAAAGAGATGACAGAGAGAGAGAACGAGAGAGAGGTAGAGGAAGTACTTTGTCGTTATATGAATGGAAACGAGAGGAAAAAGAGAGTCGGTTTACTCCGAAAGCAAATTGAATCTGTCGTTTTTCTCCGGCGAGTTTCTAACCCACGAAAGAGAGAGGATGGTAACAATGTTACTCAATTTCCTAACAATTTACTGCATATAAAAGTAATTAGTTACTAATTTCTGCGTCAATTATTTCGTTAATGCTGCCGTTATATTATTTTATTATTGCTGTTTATCCAGTTATTTATCAAGTTTTTTATCCTCCCGACCACTAGGGGGCAGCAGTGAGTGTCAGTCCTGAGTATAAACTGCACTTTTTGTCATTTACTTAAAACACAGATTACATCGAATATTTTAAGAAACAAACTTAATTTAAAACGTTAGAAATATTCTTGATCAAGCAGGAAGAATATTTTAAATATTTTTAAGCGACACTAACTTAGTTTTGTAAGTTAAATAAAAGTTTCTAATGAATTTAAGTTTTACGTTTTATTGGGTGTTTTCTTTTCAACCATACGAATAAAAATTATACAATTAAGTGAGTAGAGGAAAAGAAAAAAGGATGCAAGGAAGACAAAAGAAACAAAGAAAGAAGAGAAAGGAGAGAAAGAACAACAAGGAAGGTAGAGAAATAAGAAATAAAGAAAGGAAAATAAAATACAAAGGAAGAACAAAATAAGAAAAGAATAAAAGAAACAAAGAAAGAAAGAAATATAAGAGACATAAGGGAGAGAAAGAGAAAAGGACAAAATTAAGGTGGAGAAACGAGAAATTAGAAAAGAAAGGAAATAGGATGAAAAAAAAACAAAGGGAAATAATGGACGAAAGAAAGAGAAAGAAAAGGAGGGCAGGAGAGGGTGAAGGAGGAAATGAGGAGAGAATAACAGCAGCAGTGTTTTCTGTCTTCTGTCTGTTCAGAAGAACCTCATTTTAGATAACACACACACACACACACACACACACACACACACACACACACACACACACACACACACACAAACACTCACACTCAATATTTTTTTTAAAAATGCATAAATTAATACATTAAATCAAAAGAAATTGACAGAAATATACATTTGTCACTTTTTATTTAAATTAATTGAATGCCTACATTTATTTTTAACATCATGTTTAGTGCATTTTACAGCATATTAAAGTATTTATAGACTAATTTATGTTGTTTTGGCAGCTTCGGTCCTCCATAATTATAGGAAAACAGGTTAAATCAGTTTGGGTATTTCGAAAAGCAGCTTCCACTGTTACTATTATATATAATATATTATAAATATATATATATATATATATATATATATATATATATATCACTATATTAGAGTGAATAAATATGAGGCTGAACTATAATCTTACAGAGGAAGCAGCGACGCAGGTAAACACACATGACCCAAGACTTTCAGCATTTAGTATGACATGAATATGAACTACAGCTGCTCGCATGCTGTGTGTGTGTGTGTGTGTGTGTGTGTGTGTGTGTGTGTTTGTGTGTGTGTGTGTGTTTACTGGCTTGGCTCAGTTCTTCGTTTTCTGAGTAATTAAAAATCTGCTGCGACCTCTCAGAAAACTTTTGTTTTGATTCTTTGTGGAAAATCATTTCTGGTTTGCACTGCAGAGACTGCGTGCGTGTGTGTGTGTGTGTGTGTGTGTGTGTGTGTGTACGTGCGTGCGTGCGTGCGTGCGTGCGTGCGTGTGTGTGTAGACAGTGGATTAGCTTCCTCTCTGACAGCAGTGAAACAAGGAAACACAGATAATGTCACACTGACTCCTCCTATCTGCTCCTCTCCCCTCCTTTCACTCCCTTGCCCTGCTTTCTCCTCCCTTCCTCCTCCATCCTCCCCATTTTCTCTCCTCCTCTCCCTCCGCTTCCTTACCTCCTCTTCTCCTCTCCTCTCCTCTCCTCTCTTACCTCTTCCTAATCCTCCTTTCTTCTCTTCTCTTGCTGGTTCATTTCAATATGAATGAAAGTTGAGCTGATTTTCCTCGAGGCGAAACGTGAAACATTCACACTCACACACACGCACACACACACACACACACATGCACACCCACAGACACACACACAGACAGACACACACTTACACTAAATATTCATTTGCATTTTTTCATCTCTGCAAACTGAATTAATTGAACTTCCGTTCGGCTTCGTTTACACCGAGATGCTAAAACTGAACTCATAGGCTTATATCTGTGTGTGTGTGTGTGTGTGTGTGTGTGTGTGAGAGCTCGGGTTTAGGTTAGATTGAGCTTCCAGAGCACGAATATTGATGAATATGTCCTAACAAAGTGTGTGTGTGTTGTGTGAGAAGACCTGAAACTAGAGACTGAAACCATAAACTCATCAGGAAACTGTTTACTGAGCTCATAAATCAACTTTCAAGTCGACTCATTTCTCCATAAGACTGAATGATAATGGAGCTGCCCCCTGCTGGCCATTAGAAAGAATGCAGGTTTAAGACACTTCACAGACCTGGAAGCTCTGTCCATTATATATACTGTCAATGCTTTCATGGAGAGGACTGACTGGGACTTTTTCTAAGTTAAAGTGAGTTAAGTTTATTATTTAACTCTCCTCTCCTTTTTGATGTTTTGTTCTCTTTCTCTCACTCAAGTCTTTTAATTGAATGTGCTTAATCCTAATTGCAGGAATGTCAGTTATTGCCAAGCCTTGGATGTTGGTAGCCAGGACTTCTTGTGTTGTCTAAAGGCGCTTTATTGTAATGGGAAACAGACATTTACATTGCCAAAGCAAGTGTGACATATATGTTTATACAGATTAGTAGGAAAAAATAAAAAGGAGACTTGTAATTCTTTGAATATCTGACAGTAAAGATAATTTACAGATAACAATGAAGTATGTTTTGAGTTGATTTGTCCAACATAAGCTTTAATAATATGGTTTACTCTGTGTAATGGTTGGAAAGCAGTGCTGGTCTGAGGTTGTGTCTTTCAGGCTCATTTTAAGATGTAACCAACATTTAAGTGGTCTTTTTTTAATGTTAAAATCTCTCTGGGTTTGTGTGGAAGGCGTAGCGCACCTGCTGAGGATCCTCATCAAGAGTTTATTTAAGAGGAGCTCACTCAGATGTTTGTGCTGTAGACCTAGTAGTTTTCAGTCTCTCAGTAGTTTTTTCTCTCCCCTGGCTGCAGTGTTTGATTGAGTTTCTTTGCACTTTGTCCAGTTAGTAAAGTGTTTTACTTATCTTCTCCAGAGTCTCTGAGTTTGTGTTTAGGTTCTTCTACCTACCTTGTGTTACCAGTATCTACATTAAAGTGAATTAGATGCATACATCATTAACAGCCTTGGGTTCGACCTGCAGCGTCTCATCCACTCTCGCTCGCAGTTAAAGCTAATAAAATCCCCCCCAAAACATTTTTTTAAAGTAACTTTATGCACGATTCATGATGATGAAGGTGCAGGTCCCCAACCTTCATTCATTCACGAAATCATTTTCCAGGACCTTTTTCCAGGAGAGTTCTTGTCAATATAAGACAACACTTGCTCAGAAACTATCAGATAATGACCGTCAGGTCTCGTATTGACACATTTAACCCCAGTTTTAACGACGCAGGTCCATGAAAACGTTCGAAACACGCACCAAGGTCTTTCCATGTCTGGAAAACAAGTCACTCTTTCCAGATATTCCAGGTTTTCCAGGGTCCGTGCCAACTTTGAGAAATGTATGGCAAAAAAAGCATATTTTAGAGACTTTCCAAGCTCCCCTGTAGCTGGCACCCTGTGTGTTTTCAGAGAGAGAGAGAGAGAGTCATACACAGTGTGCCTTTGTTTCTGTGTAATGAGGAAAGACTCTCAGCGGCAGCAGAGTCCTGCACTCTGCATACACTTCAGCATAATTTCACATTTTTGATTCAGTTTCAGAATATTTCCATAATTTTGTTAATCAGGTCTGTCGGTTCTGCCGAGGAGCAGCTGAGACAAAGAGGAGTGATTCTTAAAAGCAACAGTGACTGAAAACTGTTAAAGTTTAACTGCTGTTAAAGGTAGGAGGGCGAGTATAATGCGACATGTGATCGGCCCACTACAGCAACTGAATGCTTCCATTATAATGATGGGTATCGAATTAAATACTCTATGATAAACAGCTCAAACTATAAACATTTCCAGCTCTGAAACAATAAGTTTTTACATATTGTGTTAGGATGTTTCATTAAACTAACAATGTGTAATTTGTGCCCTTAATGTCCTCAGTACATGTGCATGTTTCACACCATCCTACATTTATAAAACACACATTTTTATTCATTAAAGGTCCCATATTGTAGAAAGTGAGATTCCAATGTCTTTGTTCGGTGCTATATAAATACTCTAAGTATCAAGATGCTCAATCTACAGAGAAATACACATCGCCCATATTCAGGAACTACCTTTCAAACGCTCCTAAATGTCTAAATGAGGGTCTATATTAAGATGGATTTTG